ACCAGTCTTGACATCTTTCCTTTGGATGTTGTAAATCCCTGAAGTTCTGAACGTGAATTTTAACCAGATGTACCAGAACTTGGGCATTCAGATAGGGACAGCTCTATTAAAAATTGTTGTCCTTGAAAGTTAGACTTGTATTTCATTGGTGCTCTTTTGCCAGAATCTCTTTAGAAGTCCTGTTTTGGTAGTAAATATGCAAGCCATAGGGGAAAAATCAGTCTTGTTCAACAGTCACACCACATGTTTGACCCAAAATCATCTTACCTGGCTTGGGAACTCACCTCACTTAACCAGACCAGGCTTTTGAACAGCTTCGTGCTGACCCACCTTGAGAGAGGGAGGATTTGCTGCCACTGAGAGTGCCCTGGGATTGTTCTGCATGTTCTAAAGTTCTCTCAGAAAGAAAAGTTCCCAAATGTTCTGTACTTTAGCAGTGCCCTTGGAGTCAAGGTGCAACCTTCCAGAATGACCGCTGGAAAACGAGGCAGCACCACTCTGTGTCTAAGTTCCAGAATAGTCTTCTAAAAAGTAGACACTTATTTCAAGTTTCTTTCTGGCATGCAACAGGTATTTACAACCAAGGAGTCTTTGTGATTTATTCGACAAGCATCTATCAGTCTCCGTCTGCCAGTGTACTACGCTGTGGAGACACAATGATGGACACTGTTATTCTCTTTTCCAGGCAGTTTCACTATCTTGTGGATCAAAGGCCTAAAGAGTTATACACTTTGCCAAGAATGCCCGACGATAGGGTGATTGTGTGAGAAGAACACACTAAGTAAGAGTTGTGAGCCTGGGAGTTGTGAAGACGTGCCCGGAGGACCCTGTGTTTCACTGTGTGCACTCAGTAGACCGCATGTTTTCCTGGCTCCTGACATACAGCACTTACTCAGATATTTGCCAAATTGAGTTAATCTCGGAATAGGACACTGATGCCCAGAGAGCCAGTTAACTCTCCCACAGTGGGCTTGGAACACAAACTGCATTCTGACCCCCAGCAGTACTTCCCTCCTGCCCAACAAGTTGTCACTCAGGGTGCTTCTGATAAGCAAGTCAGTTCTTTGGTATGTTTTCTTCTGCAAGCTGTTCACCTGGATGTAGCCTCAGATTGTAAAATCCTAGGAGATTCCACAGGGAGAGAAAAAGTGGGTCTTCGTTCCACAGGAGAATGTCAGTGCCCCCTGTGGGTGACTGTGTGTCCTGGTGTGCCTAGGAAGGCTGTGACTCGTGCATGTGGTAGTTGTCAGCAGTGCCCCCAGGTTCAGACAGTAAGTTGTGTGGTAGCCATTTGCTGAGCTCAGAGGACCCAGGAGAGTCTGAGTCCTTCCACTCATGCCCTTCATGGGGAGGATGTCTCCCAACAGACTTTGCAAATGGATAATGGTAGTATAGCGTGGTGAGTGTGGGTGCATGGTAGAATACTGCACAACATACTCTGGGCAGTAGTTCTCAGTCTAGGGACTGTGGGTGGACCTCAGGAGGTTTTGAACTCCCAGAAATGGGAGCTAAATTGCTTATGTCCAGGTTTTTCTAGGGAGAGGAGCCATTCCCTTCCTCAGATTCTTAAAGCAATCCATGTCTGCACCCCCCCCCCCAGCCCCCTGCCAGTGGAAGGCTGACAGCACTTGTGCACCTGGATAGAAGCAGGTGCACGAAGGGCCTTTTGCTAGAAATGGCCCTTTAGAGGAGGGAAGATAGCGCTGTGCTTGGGGAGTGGGGTGAAGTGATTTCCATAATACAAACTGGGGGCACATTCAAGGATCTGCGAGGACTTCTTTCCACACACCATCCAGCAGCCTTGGGATTTTAGTTTGAGGCAGCGTTTCCTGTGGTGTTGGTATAGAAGTGTGCACCTTTGGGGGGTTTCTTTTGTTAGATTTACTTTTAGTTTTAAGTGCCTTGAGTTTCACACTTGAGACACACTTAAAATAAGTGGTGTCACAGATTCAATTTCCATATGATCATCACTATTCTTTACCTAATAGTCTGTGTGGACCGTATAGTAACTTTTCCATCTCTGTAAAAACCTGCTTTTGGGTTCTAGAAGGGCTCGGGCAGGAAGCTAGGTGGATCAGCACAAAACTTGAGAAGGGAGAAGAGAACAACAGACAGATCTCCTGGGTCAGTGTAAGTCCCCGGTCGATGTGAGGGCTGTATTCCAGAACAGAATTTGTAGAGTCATTTGGTGCTCAGGTCCCATTTTCTTGTAGAACAATGGTGATGTGTGGCAGGTAGTCCCAGGGCAGGTAGCAGGAACTGATGTTCTGCATCAGGCCGGCTCCGGGACTGGGCAGCAGAGTAGACTCCAGCTTGGACTGCACTCAGTGGCTAGGTGGCCTTGGTTTCCTTCCCTGTGAGGGGTAACATCATTTGTCTAAAAGGTCGATGTGAGAGACTAGATCAGTGCCTGGCAGAGTAGCGGTCTCACCGCAGGTAGGGAGGCTGTTGATTTCGCTGCATAGTTGTTGTAAAGACGTGATCGTGCCGAGTCCGTTCTCTGGTGTGTGTGGGGTGACTGGCCCCTGGGCAGTCTCGTGGGGAGTGGGACACGGGTGTTGGAAGCCATCAGCCTTGTCTCATCTCGTGCTGCAGTGACTTCTAGAGTGGATGCTGTTTTCCCATATTTCAGATAAAGAAACTGGAGTCTGGCAAGTTACATAATTTGTCCAGGACCCTAAGGCCAGGAGGCAGTGGAGCGAGGATTCGGGTTCTGACTCAGAAGCCCACACTGATCCCCATGTCCCAGAAAGACACGGTCCGCTTGCTTGAGTTTGTATATTTGAAGCTAGGAGCTCTTTTTCGCCCATTTCTCACCCTGGGATTTAAATCCAAGTTTGCCAAAATGCACAGAGCAGTTTGTTTGGACCTAATCATGACAATGGAACCTTTTGGCACCTGGGCCCCAGGAAGGGGCTATTATCATGTTACTTGCAGGCACCCTTGGTGCCAGGAACAGTGAACAGGATAGTTTGTTGCAAAGCTCAAGTAGCAGTTGTGTGGATTTTAAGCTAGTTTAAGAGGACACTTAATTTTGGTTACTAGCTGATTAATTTCAGAGGCAACTTGGTTCCCAAGGTTGCCATTAGACTGTACGATGTGACAATCGGAATTTGAGGCTCAGTGACAGTTGTATGTGACTGCCTGCCTTCAGGGTCCCGGGGGCCAGCCTGAGTAACTGGGGAGTGAAAGTCCCTGCCTCTCTATGGAGAGGTTTCTTACGCACAGTGTAGTAAAAGCTGTACAAAGGTGGGCCTGGGACATTGTTCACCAAGGAAAATCTCACACATTTCACTGACATCATCAGCTAAGGTGAGGCGAGAGGCTGCTGGTTTGCCACTGGCCCCCGACTGGTTGCTGTACGCCCAGCGCTGTGTCTGGAGGAGGCGAGGATGTGGGCCCTGTCTTGGTAGCTTTCTCACCTTGCTGGTTGCCCTGGACTGCCAGAGGAATGTATGTGGCGACAGGCTCTGCCCTGTGCAGGGAGGCAGCAAAATACAGCACTTTAGGACTGACTTTAATATTAATAATTCCTTCAGTAGGCCTGCCTCTGGACAGTGTCGTTAGAAGGCCGCAAATTGAATCATTTTCCAAACTGTCTACTTTTAAGTCACTTTGAATGGATTGGTTTGTAAATTCCTTTTACTGCTGACTATTTATAAGGTGATGACTTTGAAGTGATTTGTCCTTATGTTTGCTGAATTTTAATAATTTCCATTATCAGCAAAAAAATTTTTTTAATTATGGGTTCAGATACCAACTCTTGATATGTGCATCTTTAAACACAGGTTCTCCTTTTGAAAGGGTACATTTAAAAGATACATTTAAAAATTTTAGTTACATATAAATGCATAAGTAATTTTATATAATTATGCAAATACAGTTATGTGTGTTTTCAGGTTTCATCAAGGTATCATGTGACATGACTGTGGCATACATTGTTTTAAATAAAACACCTTGAAGACTCAGGTGAACATTAAGCCTTTCACTGTTCCTGCTCTTTCACACCAGCTTGATGGTGACCCCTGGCCTGGTGGACAGTCAGTGTTCCCTTGTAGGCTGTGTGGTGTTGGTTGGCTGTGTGGTGTTGATTTCACACACACACGCACACACACACTCTCTCACCCCAGTTTATGCAGCCTGCGTTTAGAACAATTGGGACAATTTTCTCTTTGCACATTAGGGTGGGAAAACCAGGAAATAGTCACTTTATAATTAAATCTAGTTAGTAAAAATAGAAAAGAAATCTTCTAGGATGACAGTCAGTGTTTTTATATTCGAAACTACTTAAACATGTACGATTTTCTGCCAGAGTTGTTTCCTGCAGCATGCCCATCCTGGAAAGGTACTTCTTGAGAATCAGGGTGCATGGAGGCCTTCTGGCGTCCTTTGGTGGCTCCAGAAGGGCCTGCGGTTTAAGGATCACCCCCAGTGATTGTGACTTGGTGGTCAGGGCCAGGCCTGGAGAGATGTATGCAGGAGTGGAGACAGCCTGCATCCTGGGGACTGTCTGAAGCAATCGGGCTTGTGTTCCAGACCCTGTAGGGGGCTCCAGACAGTGGTCAGGCGTGTTGCCTTCTGTGTTGCCACGGTGTTCCTAATGCACATCATCCTGAATTTCAAAAGAAATTACTTTTAAGAACCCAAAAAGCTGTTGCTTGTGGTGCCCATCTTCCTGCTCACTGGCTGATAAGCTTGGGTTGCCCTGGGAGGAGGGGGGTGTGCGGGGGCTCTTGCCACCCAGTGGTTCTGGGTGTGAGGCTCCTGACGCCCAGCTCAGCAAGCCCGGCCTGGCCCCATGGAGGCCTGGGCTGTGGTGCCTGGTGCTGCTGGTCTGCAGAGCACAGTCTGGGATGTGGAGGAACTGGGCAGCCATGGGTCCTGAGCCCTCCTGCAGATCAGGAACCCGCCTGGGGCTGGGAGAGCCGCGCGGGACTGACTGGCCCTTCCGCTGGATGCTCTGAGTGTGTTCTCTTTCTTTTGCAGAACCGTGGGTACTGATGGATGTGGCCGAGAGCCCTGACCGGGACCCTCGCTCTCCGGAGGATGAAGAAGAGCAGCAGGGGCTCTCGGACGATGACATCCTGAGGGAAAGTGGGTCTGAGCAGGATCTGGACGTGGCAGGTGGGAGGGCTTCTGACTTGGAGGATGAGGAGAGTGTGGCCCCAGGACTGAGCCAGGAGGACGAGGAGAGTCGTTCCGATGAGGACGACCAGGATTCTGAGGCTCAGGAGCTGAGCAGGGGCCCAGCCAGCCCCCCACGAGCCGAGGGGGACCGTGCCAGCGACCTGAGGGACGAGGCCTCGTCGGTCACCAGGGACCTGGATGAGCACGAGCTAGATTACGATGAGGAGGTGCCCGAGGAGCCGGCCCCTGGCATTCAGGAGGACGACGCTGAGAAGGCCGGGCCCGAGGATGACGAGGAGCGTGGAGAAGGGGCTCCTGGGGAGGAGGGGAAGGCGGGGGGCCGTGCCGTGGAGGACAAGGAGCCCCCAGAGGCTGCCAAGGAGAAGAGGAAAGAGGATGATGACGGGGAGATCGACGACGGGGAGATCGATGTGAGTAGGCCTGGTGGGCACCCCGAGGAGGGGGTGGGGGGCCAGCGCTGGGGCCGTTGCCGTGGTGGTGAGGGGACACTGAAGGCATGGAGACTAGCTTGGCCTGGAGTCAGCAGCCGGCGGAAGTTCCACAGACCCTCACTTGTCTGTCTGGTGCTGTTGGTTGGATCATATATATATATTTTTTAAAGAGGTCATTTTCTGCCTTTTTTTTTTTTTTTCCCTGTCTTTAAGTACTGTTTGAGTTAGTGTTCAACTAGAACCATCGTGGATTTCAGTTCCTGTTAGATTCTTGAGACTGAGGAAACTTCCTTCCAGTTTTGTCTATTATTTTGGCCATTTTTCTCTTTGTCCTCTGCTGAGGGTCTCCACTATGCCATGCTTCCTTGCAAGTGTCTCCTTGGAACTGCAGAAAAAGGGATTGTGTTGTCAGAGCACTTTGACTTTTGACCATCACATTCTTTTAACTTTATTTATATTAATCTGGCCTTTCAGGTTAAGGAGAAGGTGTCTGGTAATAATCGTTTTAGTTGTGAGCAGTTGGGTTTTTATGACAGATAATCTGATGAGAGAACTTCCATCACCATCTTTTTAAGAGGTTGAATTTTGAGGAGGGAAGAATTTAAAGTCCTGCTGAGAAATGCTTTTACTCAAAGGAGGAGAGAGAGGGACAGAACAGATTGACAGGAGTTTTAATGTCCCAGGAAGGAGATTCTGCTCATGGGAGAGGCACTGACGTGAGAGGTGTGAGGAATAGCTCTCAGAAATGCTCTGGGTTGCTGAGGGGAGGGGGTTGTTGGTTGAGTATGTGAGCTGGATTTGCCTGACACGCTGGCTTCTCCAGCAGCTAGTACGTATGCCATGTCTTGGGGCCATGGTTGTGCCTGGTATTGCTTCTTGAACTTCACGAGAACAGAACTTTGTGAGGCGTTACAGGCTCGTGTGTAGTTACAAGCTTAGAATTTTAGATCTTTTGTCTTCTCACAACTAAACGTAGCAGATGGTCTCCTAAGCTAAGAGCCACTGCTTGTTAGTATTATACTTACTTACAAGGGTGCTGTCGGGACGTTGTCTGTGAGCATTCTTAGGTTCTGCCAGCTGTGCTTCCCTTGCAATTTGGAAACTTCTTCTCAACCAGAGGGTTGCCAGAGGAAAAAAAGATGCCACGAGACTCCAGTTAATCAGTTTGGATGACATTTGGGGCAGAAGACGAAATCATTGATTGAGATTGCCCATGAGTTTGGTCTCTCAGTTTTCAAAAAGAAAAGCTAAGTCAGTGTCTTGCCTATAGGACGTGGGGCTCCTAGTGACGGGACGTGCGGCCGGCGGGTCTGGGCAGTCCTCCCCCATTAAGAAAGGACGAGGTGCAAGCTCTTCTTGCTTCAGCTGTGAATAGTCCACAGGGGAAGTTCATCGACTTCTCAGCCTTTCCATGCTCACATGCGGTCAGATATCTCCCCACAGGTCCTGGGGACTCTACCACTGCACTGAGTTAGATGTGGTGGCCTAGGACGTGACGTTGACCTGAGCTGGCCCAGGAAAACACCTGTTATTTGGAGATAGCTGGTTTCTTCAGAAACAGCATGAGAAGTAGAAATCCAGGTTGACTTTCTTGCCCACTTGACCCTAGATGGTTGTTTGGTTTGGCTTGTGCCTGCCTGGTCTCTCAAGAGGGCCCCAGAGCCCCGCTGGCCCCAGGCCCAGCTTCATTCAGCCACAGGGTGGCATGTCTGTCCACATGCATCCCCACGGGATGCCCAGCCCAGCACACTGCAGGGCTCTTTGTGACACGGGGGCATGTGACTGGGCGGAGCAGAGCCTGTCACCCCTCCAGACAGGCAGGCCTGGACAGGGGTGAGCACTATGAGTGGAGACTCAGACCCTCATGGGAGCCCCTCTGGTTCACTTGTGCCCAGATGCCTGCATTCCAGGCTCCTCCCCATTCTTCGATCACTTGCTTAGATGTTACGCTCTTTCTGAGGGCTCTGCCCCTGACTGTCGCGTCAGGCTTGGTGCCTTTGCTGTGATTCCTATCTGAACTGACTGGGTCGTCAGTGTGTGTGTTCCTGTTGCTCTTTAGCACCCTTACTTCCAAGAACACAAGTGATTTACCCTTCTTTTAACTGAGAAGTGCTTTTCTCTGTTGGAGTACACTGACCTGCTTTTTTCCCTTGTAGGCTTTGGGTCAGTGGGACAGATGAGCTGGTTTGGAGGGAGGCAGGCCCCCTCTCCCCAGCTTTTCCACTTTCTTTCCTTGGTAGTGACATCAGTTTGTACAATGAACCTTTGACATTCTTCTGTTTGAACCAGGTGGTTTATAACTCAGGCCTTGAATGACTTGCACGTGTTTTGGTGAGCTACCTTCAGATACCAGTGCCCTTCTGGAAGTGCCACTTCCCTGTTGCAGTGGGAGGGGATTTTGCAAATAGGATTGTGGGCCAGCTATTTATAGCGTCTAGCTTATTTGTGGAGGGGGCCGAGGGTCCCCGCCAAGTGACAGCTGAAGCATGGGTGAACTTGACTTAGTCAGCGGTCTCACCTGTGCCGGCAGCTCAGACAGCCAAATGGCGCAAGCGGCCATGTGTGCCTTGCATGGTCCTGCACAGAGCCTCCTCCCTCGAGGGTCTGTGACTTGCCTTTGGAGACTCCAGTCCTTCCATCTTTGGCCCTCCATCGTCTCCTCCGCTTTGTGACTTGGTTCTGTTTTTATGTCTCGCATGTTGTCTGGTTAACGAAACTTTGGCACCTGGAGCGTCCCATCCACTTGGGAAGGGCCAGAGTATTCTGTTCCCTCCCTCCTTTCGTCAGTGACTATCGCACTGGTAGGGTGGCTGCTTAGAGATGGCGGGACCGGGCCCGCACCCCGAGTGGACTGTCCACACATTTCCTTGGGCAGAAGTGATGGCTCTTGGCCCAGCCAGGGATGAATACACCTTGGAAGCCTTTTCTTTACATATGGGCTTTGTCTTTTCTCATGTTCACATCTGCCTGCTCCTTTCATGTCTGGACAGATAGTATCTTCTACCAAAGGATTTAGGGGCTTAGAAATCTGGGGCATTGGCAGCACTGCCCTCTGGTGGGAGGCGGAGAAGCAGCCACGGCAGCCTGGCCCCCAGGGATTCAGTCAGGCCTCCCGCCTCCCTCTGCTTGGCTAGTTAGGGGCTGGACCACTGTACTTGCTTAGCCAAGCAGCCCAGAAGCTCTGGGGTAGGAAAGCTGCCTTCCTGCCAGCACCCAACATGCTGGAACCTGTTTGTGGTTTGTGTTTATTGCTTCATGCACAGGTCCTGGGTCCCCTCACAGGTGCTGTTCCACACCCCATCACCATTTTGAAACCAAAACATCATCTCTGGCCCCGAAGGGTGTGCATGCAGGATTATAGACCTGAACTGCTAGCTCGCTATACAGGTGCAGAATCGGAAGTTCAAGGAGCCCCTGATTGGTCCAGCGGCCCCTGGGCCTCTGCTCTGGGGTGCAAGCCTGCATCTTCTTCCTTATCTGCTGTTGCTGGGGAGGCGCTGGGTTGGAAATGAGCTCTTTTTGTTGTTGAGGTCATACCCCAGCTTTGTGGTTTTGTGTTGTTTTAAGGAAAATAACCCACACAAAGGAGAAGGTAGAAGTCACCTGTGCTCCCCTCGCTTACATCTGACGTGTTGCCTCTGAGGGGTTTTTCTGTCAAGATGCTGAGCGCTCACCATGTGCGTCTCCTGAGGCCCGGGTGGAAGCTCTGGCTGCTGGAAGAGTGGGGAGGAGGGCACGGCTGGGGCCGGGGAGGTGGGGGGGGGGGCGCCAGGTAGCAGGAGGAGAACCCAGGCCACCCCATGCCCTACGCCCCATGCATACTCACCCCAAAGACATGCTGCCTGGTTCTCCCTAGATTTGTAAACTGTAGGGGGGCCTGGCACAAGCTCCAGTTGTTATTAGTTAGTTGTTGGTGCCCTTTTAGCTGTTTATAGACCCACCAGTTTGCTTCTGGGGACACCTGCTCTCTACTGGCTCTGTTCTAGGTCACGGGATCAGGGGCCACCCACCAGAATTCCTGCCAGTTACAGCCCTGACCTGGTGCTGGGAACACTGGGGGGCTGACTTTAGAGACATCCTTCTTGAGTTGTATTTGCTTGAAACTATAAAATCTCAGAACTCCTTGTGTTCGTCACTCGAGAGGCCATTGTGCTAAATGAACAGTTAGTTGATGATTGAGAATATTCTCCCGCTGGGTGCTTTATTGATGCTTTCGTCTGTCTGGCATCTAAGAAGTGGCTGAGCTGGGCAGCTGGCTCCTGATTGCTCTTGTGAATATCGACGGTAACATCTCCTCAGAAACAGATCTGTAACCTGATCGAGTGCACTGGCTGTGAATCTTGGTTTCTTTCTTTCTTTTTTTTTTTTTTTTTTGGTGAATCTTGGTTTCTTAAAAGCAGTTGCTCTGTGCTCATCATTTCAATTCCTGTGCATTGATTTCCAAACAAAACAGAAGAGTTGAATGACTTCTGACCTCTCAAAAGAGTTTTGTTTTTCTAATGAGAGCAAACAGAATCCACTCTCAGCTCCGATGTGAGCATCTGTATGACCCTAGACAGCACGTGAGGTGGTAGTGTAGGACCCAGTGCCTGAGGAAAGCAGGAAGGAGGACAGGGCTGGGAGACGGGGGTCGGGGGACCAGGGGATGATGTTCACAGGGTACAAACTTTCAGTTATTAGGTGAATAAATTCTCAAGACCTTTAAAAAAATTTGTTACTTTCTCTAAAAGGAATCATTCTGCTGGCTCTCTTAAGAGAGATAGCTCTCAGGCATCTGTTCTTTTTTCTTACAAAATACTTGTTAATAACTTGGTGTTTTTAAGGCAGAAATTTTACAAATATTTATGCTTTGGAATAAATAAGTCACCTTAAGTCCAGGGTTTGTCTCCAGTGTTTCTTCACTCAATGAAGACTGTTTACGGCGAGTCCGATGCTGCGCTTGGAGCAGCAGCAAGTGAAAAGCGGATGGCACCATCTGGTCAGCAGCCTCCGCGGCTGGGGCCTTGTCCGCGGTGGGGGGCTGTGGGGCCTCTGACTCAGACTGTGTTACCCGCCGGGAAGGAGAGGCGAGAACATGGTCAGGCCGGACTCACCGTGGTCACAGAACTGTGGGGAGCATGCGGAGGGTCACGGGTGTGGGTGCCCATCCAGAAGCAGTCCCCAGGCTGAGTGGGATGGGCAGTCATTTGGACGAGGTTAGTGCTGCAGGAGATGAGAGGAGGGTCTCCCAGACCTCTGCCCTGCTTGTGGCTCCCTTGTGTTGATCACACAAGGGCGCTCTGGAACAGGCTGGGGCCTGCAGACCCGGAGGGGCTCTATCCTGGACTTAGCATCTTAACTACATCTACAGGGCTCTGGATCCCTGCTTGGGCTAGGGGCCATCCTGGGTTGGGGTTTCAGCTCAGGGCACAGGTGGGGGGCTGGGGAGGGTGCAGAGCAGTGGTCCAGGTTGCTCTCTGAAGTCCCTGGAGGAGAGACCCACCCCTACTGTGGTCTTGAAACCCTCCTGCATTATAAAACCCAAGGTTGGGAGCTCTGGGCCAGAACAGGAAGAGAAGGCCCAGGTCTAAGCTGAAGTGGATCCGCTCGCTGACCTGAGTCGCCTAAATTCCCTCCTCCTTGGCCCTAGACTTGTAAATTAGAGAAAGTGCCTAGTTGTGTCCTTTAGACACAAAATATTTTTTCCTATAAATTTTAAGTGCAAAAAATATTAAAAACCTGAAGTGTGGCCATTTCCTGCCCAGAATTGCTAATTAAGAGAACTATGATGACATCCTGGCTTGTGTTGCATGTCACATACATCACAGAACGTTGTTTCTTGGTGATCACTGTGACACTGCAGTCTGTGGGTGAGCTTCGATCATCCCCATAGCCCGGTTGGGGGAGTCTCAGGTTTGGAAGCATGTATGAACGTGGCCGCGTGAGTCGCAGGGCTGTTCCCTGTCTGGTTTAGGGAGTGCCGTGCGCGTTGGTAGGCGTCCCTCCCGCCTCATCACCTCATTCAGGTGAGTCTCTCTTCAAGTGACTCTGTCTCTGTTTCAGGACGATGACCTGGAGGAGGGTGAGGTGAAGGACCCCAGTGACAGGAAGGTGAGGCCTCGTCCCACCTGCCGATTCTTCATGAAAGGTAAATGTCTGCGTGAGGGGCCTCTGCGTGGCCCGTTGGTGTGACCTCAGCTGTTCCCGGGACAGAGGTGGTGGTTCAGCCCTGGGCCTGGGCAGGGCTGTCCTCAGGGCCACAGTGACCGTCTGTGGCGGTGGCAGCGGCAGAGCCTCACTCTGAACTGTGGGCCTTTCCTGGTCACTCTCGTGCCTTGCTCGGAGGGCAGCCAGCCTGCTTGTTTCGCCCTAGGCTCCAGCCCATCCACCCAGCACAGACCCATGTCTCCACTGTAGACATCATCACTCCTCGTCTGAGTGGTCCCTTTTCTAAGGCCACGTGCCCCAGCTGTGACATTTCCCAACTTTGTAAGGAGAGTTCCCACTTACTACCAGGCGTCAGAGGCTGGAAAGGAGCCTGTAGAAGGGTTGGCCTCTGAAGGCAGCAAGGCCCCTCCCTCCTGCAAAGCGGATGGAGTGAGTTGAGTGACTGTGACAGAGAAGGTGTAACAAGGGGCTCTCAAGCCCAGGGTGCGTGTGTCGGGGCTGCTCCAGAACAGCGCCGTCCGGCGTGTTTGTGATGGAGCGGCCCCTTGCACCGGAGGAAGGTCTTCTCCTGCCCAGGCTTGCTGTGACCCCAGACGCCTCGCGCACTGACCCAGCCCACCCGTGCCCCCTAACGTTCACGAGAGCTTCCTGTACTTCTTTTCCAGATGTTGTGACACCATTGTCCACTCCTCCACCAATATCAAATTCCATACCATTCAGAGGCCAGGTTAAAGGTACAAAATATACGATATTCGTCTCTCTAGTACCGCACAGTCCCCCTGCTCCGGAGGCCAGACTCCTTTCTTCTGGATCCAGAATCCTGCCGTGATGCCAGGGGTAGGGGGAGGCTCTGAGGGCAGGACGCGGCCATGACGGGCTTGCAGGGGCCGCGTGCTGCCTGCACGGGGGGTGGGGCCGGGGGGGGGGGGCGGTGGTGGAGCCCCATCCTATGAGTGGCTGTGAACAAGCCCGTCCCTCATACTGAGGTGACCCAAGGATGCAAGCGCCTGGGAACGCTCGAGGCCCTGGTCAGCGCGTCCTGGGAGCGAGTCCTCTTGGCTGTGCTGTTTCTGTGCTGCTCGTTGCTGTGCGATGGCTCCTCTGTGCGGCCACATGCACCATTCCCTGGATGGGAGCATAGCCGCCCTAAGGATGCAGATGAATACGCAGCACCTTCTAGAAAGTAAATGCTTACAGCTTCTCAAAGCCTGTGGTATTTGAAGTGTCAGTATTTCAGAAAACTTAAGCCAAAGACTTCCTTGCCATAAAGACTTCAGTCTGTCTCTGGAATTTCTGGAGTAAATCAGTGGAGCCCATGGAGCCCAACACGCGTGCATGCACACACATGTGCTGCGATCATTTCCAGTTAGCACTGTGCACAGACCCTGTGGTTAGAAGTCTGGCCACGGTCAGGACCTGCCAGAGGCCCCGTGGCAGCAGGGTGGGAGGCTGCAGCACCCACCTTTGAGGGCACAGAAGCTCCAGTCAGGTGCTTGGTGTCTCACTGCTGAAGGACTTGCCAGAATTTAGCTCCAGAAGCGCACACACTACAAAACGAAGCTGGTGGCTGTACACAGAGGAGCACTGGGGGGTACTGGAGGGGGTGCCCTCTCCAAGGATGTCTGCAGCGGGTGGGGGGGAAGGCGGTCATAGCACAGCAGGGGAGGTGCCTCAGATCCCACTGAGCACCCGGGTGGGGTTTCAGGGAGTGACACCGCCCACCACAACGTGTCAGGCCTTTCTTGGTAGAGAAGTTAGAAGCTACTGGTAAGCAGCATTTTTTGCAGTTTAATTGGGTACATTCAGTAACTTGTTTCAGAAATATACTGTTTAATTTATAGTTCCCCTTCCCCCGATATTCTGTTCATTCTACAGAATAATGTGATAGATACTTCTTTGGGTGTTCTGGGACATACCTCTTGCCTTTCCTTAGGAAAAAGATTTTGGGTGTAAACGTTTTTGCTTGTATGCAGTTTAAAAGATTATAAGCTGAGATGGATGCATTTCGGTTCTCTCCAATAGCAAGAGTCACTAAAATACAATGAAGTTTGCTGTGTCTGGGGAGGATGTCGAGAAACAGAACCTACCTTACACCCTGGGCGCAGCCTGCTCAGAGTGTGTGGTGGAGAGGGCTGCAGCTAAGCCAGCCACTCCCCCACCCGGTGTGTCCTGAGCCGCACGGAGACCTGTACACAAGTGTTCACAGCAGCATGGTCACAACAGGCAGAAGGTAGAAACAGCCCCAGTGCCCATCGGCTCGTGAGGGGATAAACAGGATGTGGTCCCTCCATACCAGGGAATAATAAAAGCAGTATGGATGAACCCAAGGATACTGCTGGTCGCTAACAGCCCATATTGTATGATTCTGCTTATGGGAACTGTCCAGGGTGGACAGATCCATAGAGACAGAAAATGGGCTGGTTATTGTCCAGGCCAGAGCAGGAGGGGCAGCCATTGAGTACAGGGTTTCATTTAGGGAGATGGAATGTCCTAGAATTATGTAGTAGCAATGGTTGCACAACTTTGTGAACATACTAAAACCCACTGAATGGTGCCCTTTAAATAGGGATATTTTACAGTATGTGAATTATATCTTAATTTGAAAATACTTAAACTGTTTTTAGCTATATTTCTATTACAAGTTGTGATCTGCAGATTAATTGTTAAGTTGCCCAAATGGACACATTGATCTCTGTAACCAGTGACAACAACAATGTACTTAGGAATACAAGTTGAAACATTTTAAAGTGCCAGTACTTTGTTTATGGTATATTTTCACCTCTCACCTACTTAGGTTGAGTCATCAAAACATGAAGTTCTGTCCAGAAAGGCATAAATAGCATTTTCTTTAAATTGTCCTGCTCCTGGGTCTCTGATTACTTGGCTGTCAGTAGCACCAAGCCTGTTCTGCAGACCAGGCCTCCTGTGTCTGCTCCTTCCTGCACCTGCCGCCCCCCCCCACCCCCCGCCAACACACACACACTTTCTTCCTCTTGTTAAAATTGTGGTAAAAAACACAACGTAAAATTTACCATCTTAACTGTTTTTAAGTGTCCATTTCATTGGCCTTCATTGTGGCCATCACCACCATGGGCCTCCAGAGCTCCTTTCATTATGGAAACTTGAAACTGTCTGTGTTAGACAGGAGCTCCCAGCCCTACGCCTCTGCCCACCTCATCTCCATGAAGTTGAGTACCCTGTGTGCCTAACAGAAGTGCAGTCTCGTCCTTTTCTGAGGGGCTCATTTGACTCAGCACAGTGTTCTCAAGGTTCATCCACGCTGTGGCAGTGTCGGGATTTCCTTCTTCTTCAGGATGGAGTAACAGTCCACTGCGGGGCAGATCACACTGTGCTTGCCCGTCGCCCGTCAGTGGGCATCTCGGTTGCTTCCTTTCTTGACCTGTTGTGATAATGCTGCTGGGAAGATGGGTGTGCAGATGTCTCTTTGACACCCTCCTCTCCAGTCTTTTGAGTATACACCCAGAAGTGGGATGGCCTGGTCGTGTGGTACTTAATGTCTTTAAAGTTTTAGAAACTGCCCTACAATTGTCCACGTGGCTCTACCGTTTCGCATCCCACCACGTCGCCCGGGGTTTAAGCTCTTTCCTTGTGGACGCCCATTTTCTGGTTTTGCAATAGTGACTGTCATCATGGGTGTGGGGTGGTGTCTCTAATGGGTTCTGATTTGCATTTCCCTCTGATTAGTGATGTGGAGCATCTCTTCAAGTGCTTTTTGGCCATTTGTGAATATTCTTTGGAGAAGTGCTTACTGCCCATTTTTTAATCCCTGCATCCTCTGGTGTTTAAGGCAGGAGGTCTCCAGGTATGTTCTTGCCACCTAGGGGCCCCTGAAGTCAGTGCCTTAGTGAGACTGAATGCACCACTCGGCAGGGGCCACCTGCTGCACATGCTGTGAAACAACGTTCATGATTAGTTTGAGTTTAGGTCTTTTCGTAAATAAATTTATCGAGGTATAATTGCCCTGTCATAAAATCCACCTATTTTAAGTGTCCAGTTTAATGATTCTTATTAGTTTAGCAAGTTGTGCAGCCAGCACCAAAGTCCAGGTGTAGAATATTTCCTTCGCCCCACCACAACCCCTCAATATGTGTCTTTTTGCTTTTCTAACAAAACTGCAAGCACTCACGGAGCTCCTTTGCTGCCCCTGAGGCGTGAGGGGTGCCTCCAGGGAGGGCATGCCAGGTGTGGCCATGAGCCCAGTCCTGTTGACTCCAGGACATCCAGAAAGCCAGGACAGTGGCTGCTGATAAGGTCAGCCTCTCAAGTGAAAAATCAGAGTGGTAGGAAACTTGACAGTTTTGCAGGATTTGATGACTTTTCCAAGCTAACGTTGCGTGATGTCACAAAATCCTACCTGGGTAGAAAGCCATTCACAGTTCAAGGTGGACCCGCCTGGGAGTTAGAGAAGTTCAGTGGCAGGGCTGGGGGAGTTCCTGGCCAAAGCTTCGGAGGGCACACAGCGTCGGGAGAGGCCTCAGGGTCTCCCAGCGGCTGCACCTCCTCCCCTGAGCCACCCCCAGAGCAGGCTAAGTTTTCTCAAAGTATGTTCATAAAACCTTTATGTTAACAAATATTGTTAACATAAATTACATATGTTATATTTTATGTCTTTAAATTTTCTCAGTTTTAATATCAATAGATATAATCATTACAGAGACTCTGGGATCCTGAGACCGAAAAGTTACACAAACCACTGGTTTCAAGTCTGTCATTTATAAAGAAGCAGCCCAGAAACTATTTTTATTCTTTCAACTACCATAATGAATAATGACTATTCCTGAAGAAGTCAAAGCAGCTCAGCACAGATGACCTGGTTGTCTGTGTCTGTCACAGTTCTGTGAAGAGGGGAGCACTGACTTTTGTGTTCTTACATTAAGTTTGTGTTCATTGAGTTGTATGCCTGTTAGAGGAAGCATTTGTAGAACTTGGGTTGGTCTTTAATATTTCCTTATTAGATTTTTATATATTCTGTCTTCTTTTCAAAAAGTATTTTTTTAAAAAACCATGAAGCAGTTTATTTTGACAATCCCTATTTTTATTAGTTATTCTGAGTTGTTCAAATTAACAGGAAATGGGACCAAGGAATATCTAAATAAGACCACTGTGTCTTATTTAGAAACAAGGAAGTCTTTGTTTAAAATTCTGGTGTGAAGAAAGCATTTTGTGTGGAAGCTAGAGAAAGGAGTGTAAAATCATCTCCGCTGTTGCGGGAGGCACCACAGGTGCCGTGCCATGCAGGTTAGAAATGCCAGCAGAGGCGCCTCACTGACCTCCAGTCAGGCCAGCAGTCAGAGCTGTTAAGGCCTGGTGGTGTTTCTGACCAGACTCCTGGATCTGCTGTGTGGGGCGTGCATTCTGTCGTCTGTGTTCGTGTCTTTGGTTTCTGCTGAGACTGAGGCAGGCTGTGTGTGTGTGTGTGTGTGTGTGTGTAATAGGCACCTTTGTTTACATGTATTCCTTTGACCCTCCCACCCACCACCACACTGCGTCCTTTTTTTTTTTTTTTTCTTTTGGCTGTACCACTTGGATTGCAGCAAAGTCCTCTGCTTGCTCCCTTTGGGCTCCTGTCCATGCAGACCCCTTACCGAATTGTAATCCTGTTTCGTCATACAGTCACAGTCCACATAAATTTTCTGGTAGTGAAATTTCATTTAGAAGCAGAAGAGAGTTTTTAAACCTGTAAATCTACTTTTGCTTCCATTTCCTGGAGAATTTTTTTTTTCCCCAAACAAATTGCTTTCTTAAATTATGAAAGTAATGTGTGCTGACAGAGAGTCAAAACAGTATCAGTTATCCTGATACAGTTGGAGTGTATCCTCCCATACTTCTTTCTGCATAATTGAAAATTCACTTTTCAGAAGGCTGGTGGGATTGCACTGTTCTTGCCACTCTTCCTGCCTGCAGGCGCGGGACGCCTGCCCTTGCATGTATGTAGACCGCCCACACTTCCTGGAGCAGCCACCTCCTTCTCTTTGGAGGCCCTGGGCCCAGACACAGGCAGTCTCAACTCCTCTCTCTCTCTGCTCATTCTCCAGCTCCTCCTCCCTGCCCTTAAAACCTGAGGAACCAAAGAGCTTTTTTTGTTAGTGGTCAGGGGTGATATTTTTGTTTTGTTTTGAAAATTCAAATACAAAAAGAACAAAGAATAACACATTCATTTACCTCCTACCCATATAGGTATTTTAGATTTTAAATATTATAGAAATGCTGTGCTTTATTTTGTTAATACTTTTCTGTGCTTACAATTTTTTTGTTACCTTTTAACTGCATGAGCAGTGCGAACTGTGATATGAATTTATGAGAGTCAGGCGATGAATAAGTGGATATTTTGGAATTCTTTATTTAGATGTATGACTGCACATTCTTTTTTCTTTAAAACTGTCTGAGTCTCTGGGGTTTTGAACCCCCTGGAGTGTGTTACTTAGCCTCTGCTTTGTATGTGATCTCTCAAACACTTTTAGAAATTATAAACTTAGTTGATTGTTTTTGCATTCCCAGAGAAAAAAATGTTTTAAGTATACTTTATTCCATATTTAATTCGGAGCCATATATTATTATGTTGGTTTTAATACAAGTTGAAATGCTCATAGTTTTTAAAAGGTAAAATTTAGTGTTTCTTAAATATCAAATGATTATTTCTCTTTAATTTACATGATATAAGGAAAAAACATTTTTTTGACAGAAATATTCAAATGAAATATTGTGTTTAGGAGTGAATGTATATTAAAAGATGGCTTACAATTTAACTACATGCTAACCAATTGAAAATGTTTTCTGAAACCACTTAGATATTGTATGCCATATTTATTTTTTAAGCCTGCACACATATTACCTATTCAAAAAATTAAATTAAAAAAAAAATTCACTCACTAATTAAATTTAAAATGTAGTCTTCTTTTCTGTCCTGAAAAGTCAGGTGGTTTTCCTGAATCTTGGTGTTCTGTTGCTGAATAATGCTAAAGGTCAGCCTTTTTAGTTCTTTGTTGTAAAGTATAAACACCCCATTTATTATAGTTGTCTATGTGTTTTCTCTCTAACCCTTTTTTTTAAGTAACTGGAAGTAGCCTGCAGTGGCTTGCTAGGAGAAATGCAGGTGTACAGAGCTGGTAAAGATCACCCTGGCATAAACTGGCAGTGATCGCTATCGTGCTGCTCTTTGATTTCTGTTTCAGTATGGGGCTCTCTTGAGTCAGAATCATGACCCTGTCAGTGCACCTTCGGGTGTGTATGTCCTGAGCCGTGAAACCTGAGGCAGGGCCACCCTGATCACCGGGATGCTGTGGGTGTCTCTGTTTAGGGGAGATGAACTACTTTCATGGTGACTGTGGGGCAGGGTCCTGTGTGAGCCCTTAAGTGCTGCTTGCAGGGCGGCCCAGACTGTCCAGGCCTGCCTTCATGGTCTCGTGGGATGGACAGGGCTGTGCTCGGCCTGCTGCCTGGGTGTCTTGCCGGTCGCCAGTGGAGCAGGGGGAGCTGAACTGTGCACATGGGCCAGGCCCCCTCTGACCTGCCTCTTATTTCCACAGGGAACTGCACCTGGGGCATGAACTGCAGATTCATACACCCTGGAGTCAACGACAAGGGCAACTACTCCCTCATCACCAAGGCTGAGCCCTTCCCACCCAATGGGGCCCCGCCGCTCGGACCGCACCCCCTGATGCCTGCCAACCCATGGGTATGTGAACGCCATGAATGTCATCCCTTGCTGGCAGATCACATCAAACTCTGTTTGTGATGTTCCAACTCAAAAACATGACTGTGCCTTGTGTGTAAGACATTTCTAGGCTGCCACAGAGGCCAGAGCTGCCTTCCAGCCCTCTGGTTGTCCCCAGCTAGGGGCCCCCGGAGGCTTGGGACAGCCGGTCAAGGGAGGGAGGCTGAGAGAGGAGAGCAGGCAGGGCCCGCTGGGGTTTCACTTGGTATTTTTGCGCCCCCATTTCTAAGTTTTGCTTCCTGTCGTAACTTTTTGCTTACGTTTTTTTATAGGGCGGGCCTGTAGTAGATGAAATTTTGCCGCCACCCCCTCCAGAACCCCCCACAGAGAGTGCCTGGGAACGAGGACTCCGGCATGCAAAGGAGGTAACAGACCAGTGGAAAGCCTGTGAAGAAAAGTACTAGTGGTGGTCCTTGCACAAAGCCAGCATTTCTGTCTCTCCGAGGCTGCTAGGTCATCCAGAGGCCAGGGGGGCCATGCCACTTCCCCTGTGGCCTCTGTATCTGGAGAAGCCGTCTTTCCTGGGGAAGCACAGTGTTCACCCACCTCCCCCTCCCTCATGCTAGGCCACACCTGGCACCTGGCTCCCAGTGCCCGCGCTTACCCCTCTTGGCTCTAGAGCTTCCCTTCAGGGAAATGACTGGCGAAAGCAGAGCCGTTCCTGCCCACTCCCCCAGCCCCGCCCCACTCTGGGTGCCTCTCCTGCCTAGAGCACCTTCCCCTGCCCCCTCACTGAGTGCACGTCTGGAGCCCCCAGTTCAAGGCCAGGACTAGAAACAGGAGGTCAGACATAGGTGAGCTCCTGAGTGCAGGGTGCACTGTGCCTGCAGGGATGGGGCCCTTGTGGGGTCCCGTGTGCATCCCAGCACAGAGCTTCAGCAAATCCCTACTGGGCGCTTGGTCATGCTCCTCTGGCACGCCAGCCCAGGCATCAGGGGTCAGTCAGGGTAGGACCCCCTGTGTTTGCTTAGCAGTAACAGTGTTGGCTTCTCTTTTTACAATGATAGGTTTTGAAAAAAGCAACTATTCGAAAAGAACAGGAGCCTGATTTTGAAGAGAAAAGGTTTACAGTGACCATTGGTGAAGATGAGCGAGAGTTTGACAAAGAAAATGAAGTTTTCCGAGACTGGAACTATCGGATCACGAGAGATGTCAGAGACACAGCGTAAGGAGTGGTTCTGCCTCTGCTTCCCCTGTTGAGAGTTCAGTGTCCCCGGCAGGGTGGGAACCGGGCTCTTGGGAGCAGCAGCACAGTCCACACCCGTGGGCTGAGAATGGCCTTCCTGAGGTGCTGCAGACAGTTTGCAGCTGACTTTCCTTGTTTTTCTTCTGGAAGGATATGTTTGAGTGCCGTGCCAGGGCCTTGGGATTGTGGAGGGCTCACATCCATTGGGGTTCCTACAAGCTCTGAGGGGGTTTACAGCTGTTCCTAAAGCCCCTGGAACCCACGTCTCTCCCACCTTCCCCCAGGCTCCCCAGCAACCAGGAGAGGCTGTGAAATTTGTCCCAAAACCCGGGAGTATGGCAGGTTTCTTCATTGTTGCTGCCAGACATTTTATCATGGGCCTTTTAAATGGATTGCAGAAGCACATGTGGCTGAAACCCCCATCAGCCCTTGAGGAGCTGTGTGGTGCCCCACCACATAACCCGGGCCCCAGCGCCTACTCCACACTCAGCCCAGCTCAGCTTCAGGCAGGGCAGTCCAGGTCTTTCCCCGGCAGGCAACTTCAGCAGCTCCCTGGTCACACAGCGACACCATGCGAGGGGCGTTCCTGCTGGAAAGCACAGCCCTGATTTCCTGCTGAAACAACAGTCAGGGGCGCAGGTAAAGGCTGTGGGGTCGGCTCTATGTTTCCGCAGTCACCGCCACAGCCGCCCATGTAGGCCTGAGGCTGTGGGCTGGAGGGTGAGGAAGCCGTCTGGCTGTTGGGAGTGATCAGGCTGTCACTTGGCAGTACAGCCCCGAGTTCACCCCACCAGGGCCCCAGGAGTGTGGGGAGAGATGCCCTAGAAAGCAGCCACTGAAGGCCTTGTGGAGGCAGTGCAGGCTGGAGGGGGCCTTGGGCCTCTCTGAGCTCTGGGCACCTCTGTTTCTCCTACCAGTTTACCCAACGGGAAGGGTTAGTCTGGAGTCAAGAAATCTCTGAAAGAAGCTTGAGGGCCCAGCTGCTGTTGGGTGACCATCCCCTTCTCTCTCTCTCTCTCTCTCTCTCACACACACACACACACACACACACACTCCTGGACTGCAGGGTGACCATCCCCTTCTCTCTCTCACACAGACACAGACTCCTGGGCTGCAGGTCCTCTGGGTCAGTGTGTGGGGAGGGCCCTCCTCTTCCAGGGCGTAGGAGCCATCATGTCCCCATGGTTGAAGGCCCACCACTCTCACCCCACCAGGCTCTGTGCCCAGACCTGTTTTATTCCTCGGTCTGTTTCTTTATGACCTGGGCCATCTGTGATATCGTGAGGTCTCAAGAGGGTGTCTTTTTTTCCCCCTAATTTTTGGCTGTGCCATGTGGCATGAGGAATCTTAGTTCCCTGCTCAGGGATTGAACCCATACCCCCCTGTAGTGGAAGCATGGTGTACTAACCCTTGACACCAGGGAAATCACACAGAGGGTGTGTCTTATCTTTCCCAGGGTTTCTTGGCTGGTCTTGTATGTCTTGTGTCCATGTGAACCTGAGGATCAGTTGTCTACCCACATGAAGAACCTCATCAGCATTTTTATTGGGATTGCCCTAAATTTATAAATTAATGAAGGGATTTGTAAATTAACTGACTTCTTGGTGATGTTCAGTTTTCCTTTGCGATGATGAGGGATGTGATCTTATTCACCTGTGCTTTTGTGTCTTTCAAGAGTGTTAAAGTTTTCCTCAAGTAGATTCTGCATGTTTCTGGTTAAGTGTATTGTTACCTTGTTCCTCAGTATGTTTCCTTCTTTCTTGCTGGTTAACTGGGGTTTTCTCTACCCTCCTCACTGGTTATTATCTAGAATTACCTATGTGCCTTACTGGGCTCTTCTTACCACTTGAATTGACTTCACCATCATGTCATGGCTTTCACATATGGTGTCATTTAATTTGCACATTGAGGTGGCTTGGGGGCTCCTGGAGTCTGGTTGCGGCGGTGCTGCCAGCACAGTGTGGGTTATCTCAGAGGCACTGGGCTTTCTTGCCCATTGGGATCTTAATGGGAACACCTCCCTGTTCCCAGCGAATAAGGTGCTGGCTTTAGTTCTGAAGTGTATAAACATCAGCATCTATCACATTAAGAAAGTGTCATTTTCTCCTCTCATTGGGAAGGGGTTGGGTTTTTATCACAAATGTTTTCGCCATCTGTAGGTGTTATCCTTTGATTTCTCTGTAGGTCTGTGATTTTGTTTAGTATATTCAGTTTCTAATATTGACTCAGCCTTGCAGTCTCTCTTTTTTTTTTTTAATGTGGTGTCTAAATCTTGGCAGATATTTTATGTAATGTATTTGCATTAATGTTCTTAAGTGATAAGCTTGACTTTTACTTGCTCTTTTTCAGACTTGAGCCTTACGCAGACCCTTATTACGACTACGAGATAGAGCGCTTCTGGCGTGGCGGGCAGTATGAGAACTTCCGGGTGCAGTACACAGAGGCCGAGCCGTACCATAACTACCGGGTATGTAGGTTGGAACTTCACTGGTGGACCCTTTAAATCACCCCGTTTTTATTTATAGGACTTTATAAAGGCTTAATTGTGTGAGCATGGTGTACTGATTTCAAGTCCCAGTTGACCATCTGTGGAGAACGGATTCTGGTCCGGGAACTGACCTTGTGGTGACTTGAACAGCTCCTTCTCTGAGCTGGTCTGTGCTCTGGCTCTGTTTTCCCCAGAGCCGCGGGGTGGGTGAGCAGTGCCAGTGGCAGGGGCTGTGCCACTCTCCGGCTCAGGACCACCCTTGGCGGGTCGTGGCCATTCCTGTCGGCACTTCTCTGAGATGTGGTAGGTTTATGAATATATGTGCTTCACCCTCTGAGCCCCTGACCCTGTGCTTCTGATGTGAAGCTGCAGCTTGGAAGAGGTTGTTAGAGGTAGGTTAGTGGTTTCTGTGCCACAGCTTAAGTGATAGTCGTGAGTTTTTAGGGCCAGAGGGGAGTGACTGGCTGGGGACCACATCAGATGGTGAGCCTGTGGCGAGAAGAGGACCTGGCTGCTGGCCCTGCTGTGCCCCTTCTCCGGGCAGTTAGAACAGACTCCTCACTCACTGGGGCCGGGCCGCAGGGCTGCAGGTGCCTGGTGCCAGCCAGGGCAGCCTCAGAGGGTGTGGGACCTGCCGGGGTGCCCTGAGCCCCAGGCCGGGCTGCCTGTGCACAGCCTTGGTGTCTACCTCCCGAGGCGGGAGCTGAGGTCCAGGAGGCCTGCCAGGCCCACAGGCGTGGTGCTGATGCTGGAGAGCCTGCTCTGCGCCCCCCGCCCCCCTCAGAAATGAGACCCCCACCCAGGTGTTCTGTCTCCTCCGCCTGCTCTCGCGTCCCGCCCGTGCCTCCCCTTCTGAGGGTCTGATCCCGCCTGTAGGAAAGGGAGCGAGAACGGGAGCGGGAGAACAGACAGCGCGAGCGGGAGCGGGAGCGCGAGCGGGACCGGGAGCGGGAGCGGCGCCAGCGGGAGCGGGAGCGCGAGCGGGAGCGCGAAAGGGACAAGGAGCGGCAGCGGCGGAAGGAGGAGTGGGAGCGCGAGCGCGCCAAGCGGGACGAGAAGGACAGGCAGCACCGCGACCGCGACAAGGAGCGCGAGAAGGACAAGGAGAAGCCCAAGGCCCGCTCCCCGCAGCCACCCAGGTAGGAACCGCGCCGTCTGGAGCCTGGGAGCGGGAGGGCTGCGGAAGGGGCAGCCACCCCCCTCCCCCCCCCCCCGCCCGTGCGGCTCTCCCGGGAGCCGGGCTGCGTGCCCAGCTGGAGGACCTGCCCGCACTGTGTGGACCGCTCCTTTGGTTGTGCAGAAGCTTTCTGGTTAGATGCAGTCCCACAGGTTTATTTTTGCGTTTGCTGTTTGTGCTTTAGATGTCGTATCTAACATTGTTAAGACCTACATCATGAAGCTTTTGCTCTGATTTCTTCTAAGAGTTGTGTGGTTTCCCATCTCACATGTAAGTTTTTTTAATCCATTTCAAGGTAGCTTTTATTAGTGGTTGAAGATAGGGTCTAATTTCATTGTCTTGCATGTGACTGTCCAGTTTTCCCCATTGAGTGTTTTTGGCTCCCTTGGCAAATATTAGTTGCCTGGGTATGCAGGGCTTTGTTTCTGGCCTCTTTCTCCCGCTCACATGTGTGCTTCTGTTTTGACACCAGTGTCACACTGCTTTGATTACTGCAGCTTTTAGCACAGCTTTAATCAGGAGCTGTGGTGCCTCCTGCTCTGTTCTTTCTCAGGATTGCTTTGGCTATTCGGAGTCCTTTGTGGTGCTGTACAAAACTGTAGGTTGTTTTTTCTGTTGTATGAAAAGTGCCGTTGGAACTTTGGTTAGGCCTGCAGTGTATCTGTAGGTTGGTGTGGGCAGCACAGACGGTGTAACGGTGTTTTCTAATTGGTGAGCCTGGTGTGTGTTTCAGTGTTTTCTGTCTTCTTCAGGTCCCTTCATCAGTGTCTTGTGATTTTCAGTGTACAGATCTCTCACCACCTTTGTTAATTCATTCCTAAGTATTTTATTATTTTATATTATAAATAGGATTATTTCTTTTTTATGTACTTTGTTGTTAGTATATAAAAACACAACTGGTTTTTGTACATTGATTTTGTATCCTGCATTTGCACTGAATCTTGTTCATTATTTCTAACAGTTTTTGGTGGAAAAGCCAGACTCATATCCCTGATTCCTGTCCTTGCCATTGAGCAGAGTCCTGTCTTGTGTTTCTGAAAGTAAACGTCAGGACCATATAGTCTTTCATTCTTGTCTTTTGTTAAATGTGGGTTCTATACTCATCCTCTAGGTGACAGTGAACTGACCTCCCTGAATTTGCTCTGTTTTTTCCTAATATTGAGCAAAGTGATATACTTTAAGAACAATCAGAGTAAATCATATTTTAGATGCATTGAAAGACTTCCTTCTTCAATTTTTCTGTTGTGGGGCCCTTTGAAGCCCCTTTTTGGTAGACACTTTGCCTTCTGTCCATACCGCTGGCTGGCCTCTGCCTCTTGGCTCACCTCAATCATTGCTCTGCTATTCCCCTGCCTCTAGGCTTTACCTGCTACTCAGAGAGGTCAACCCCCCCCGCCCCCCGCATTCCTGCTTTATTTATTGTTCTTAACACCTCTAGTCTCCTCCTGACTTCATTGTACTTGCTTATCTATTGTCCTCTGTGGTCTTTGTAGAGTGGAACCCGGACAGGGCACTGCAGTCTCAGGGCCTGGCACAGGGGGGCGCCAGTAGTTAATCTGTGTGTGACCCCAGGGCCTACCCAATTTAGGAGAAGTCTTGTCTAGAATGACCCATCAGAAAATGCATCTGATCTACTGAACAGTGTAAAGTGTGGAATCTTTCATGGAATTTATGGAAAGTTGTACTAAAGTGGAAAGCTGAAGGGTTTCCTGGTTCCAGAAGAGCTGTTTGGTGTATTGCTTGTCTGCCCTGTGGTCATGTGGGTGACAGAGCTGTGGCTCACTGCCCAGTAAAGATCAAAATGCAAAATTCAAAGCACAGCTTCTCCTGAAAGCATGCCACTTTCCACTGTTGTAAAAGTCTAGCCATCCTAAGTCAGGGACTACCTGTAGCTCATGGACAGATGCCTGTGTTCACTCTCTATGGGGAAGTCTGGGGAAGTCAGACCCACAAGGAGGGTTTCTTGAAGGCAGTGGCAAGTCTTGGCCTGGCCCCCAGCAGCGGAGCACTGTGAGCAGCCGCCAGATCTGATGTCTGCACAGCCACAGGGGCTCCTGTGAGGAAGGGCTCAGCAACAGCACAGCTGAACTAGAGGGTCAGGGTTCGGGGAACTTTGTGAATTCCTCCTGAAGTCAGAGGCAGCTTTTGTCGTGGACTGGTGTGCTCTGCTGCCAGCCTCTGACCTGGTTCACTTCCCTTCTTTGGGCTCAGTTCTTCCCCTGCGGACCCCTCTCTGCCCTCAGTAGAGGGGCATATTCCGTCAGTCGGCCTCAGTTCAGCCCGGCTCACTGGTCTTCGGAGTCTTGAATTTCATCTTTGATTGCCCTGGCTGGGGCCCCGCCAGCCCTGCCACCAACTTGAAGGGTGGGGTTTCACCAGAGCAGAATTTCCAACACGGCCTCCTGTTTCCTTTCCTTTGATCAGCCCAAGCTGGTGTGACCACTGTGTCAGGAGGTGGCCAGGCTCCCTGCCGTAATTCCTTTACCTGACCTCCCTTTTATGGGAGAGTTTGTTTACTTAGCCTCTATCAGGTTGGGAGTTTTTCATCAGCAGCTGGATGGAGAGAACGTGGTGGCTTCCCAGCTTACACAGTGGTAAAGAATCTGCCTGCCCACGCAGGAGATGCGAGAGATTCGGGTTTGATCCCTGGGTCGGGAAGATCCCTTGGAGGAGGAAATGGCACGCCACTCTGGTGTTCTTGCCTGGAGATCCCATGGACAGAGGAACCTGGTGGGCTACAGCTCATGGGGTCACAGAGAGTTGGACACGACTGAGCATGCAGCATGCATACACCTGAGAGAGGAAATAGGCATAGCTTTTTCCGCCGCGTGTGGGCTCTGGACGGGGCGGCATCTGTTGGGGAAGGTCCCACACGTGGGAGTAGGGGATGCTATTGAGCGTGGTGCTGGATCTTCCCTTACATCCACGACCAGCGAGAGCTCCCAAAACCCAGCTTGTGGCCGGGAGGGGGCTAGTAGCACACAGGATGGTGGGTCCTGGCTCTGCCAGGCCTGGGTCCCTCTCATCCCCACCCCTCACCTGCCCAAGCTGCCTCCTGTGGAGCTGCTGCCACAGGGACCACCTGTTGGCACTTCTGCAGGCCTCCGGGCCAGCCCCCATGTTGTTCGTTTGGAGTGAACACCCCTGCCTTCACTGAGGCTTACCTTCATGATTGGGCCTTTCCAGACATCTTGCCCACTTCTATAACTGGGCTGTTTTTAGAGCGGAGCCTGTAGCCAGTTCTGTGAGAGAATCACTGTGACGGAGGAGCACTTCCATGAAACCTCCTCCCAGTGTGTACAGCCAGGCCAGCGGGCGTGCTTTGTGGGTAGGGCGCCGCAGAAAGGATGTTCTCAGACATGCGGATGAATGTCATTCCAGACACGAATAGTAACCGGGACCTTCCCGAGGACTCGCCCAGATTGCCTGTTATCTTCAAAGCTGTTTACTGAGCATTCGAGCATAGTGAGAGGTTTGGGGCCCCTTGGGGTTGAAATGGCCAGCTTCTCATCTCTAGGGACCAGGGTTCTTCACGGGGCAGTGCTGTTCCCACTTCCTCACACTCCCCGCAGCCTGGCGACTGTCACCTGGATGCCAGGGAGGTGACCTGGTCAAGTGCACCCACCCAGGAATCTCGAGACCCTGGGAGCACGGAGGTTACTGTTAGGCTGACCAAGCCATGGCTGTGTCACTGCCCGCGCACTTTGTCTGGCTCAGACTGGTGCTTGGACCAAGGGTGATGGCCGCTCGGGTCTCCTCTGACTCTTCCGTGGGACACTTTAGGTCCCCTTCTGCTTTCGGTGGCTTTTTCCCTCCCTGTTTCCTCGAGCACCTCACCTCTTGCCATGGCAGCTCCACCTTCAGTGCCATCTGTCTGTCTTGTGGAATTCATGGGATCCCATAGCGTTGTTACCTGCCTTTGCTATATAACCCCGAGGGTTCCAGGCGCTCACACCCAGACAGCTGCCATGCTGGCCAGGCCACAAGGGCCTCCCATTCCACACTGGCTCCATCCTTGCACTTAAGGAGTTAGATCCCAGCTTGGACTTTCTGCTAGCAGGAGACACGCTCCCTGGGAGCTAAGGAACCTTGTTTATCTTTCTCATCTCATTCCAGTCTTTCCTGGTCATGGCTTACTTCCTCCTCTGGGAAAGTTGTGCCCAGGGCATTCTCGAGGAAAAGTGGATCCTGTGTGGATCCTGTGTTCTAACTTCTTGACTGACGCACAGAGTTACAGAGCTTGTCCCAAAATGGAGAGACTTGTGGTCTCTCTCGAGTTCTGACCCAAGTGCCCACAAGTGGCCTTGGTGGGAACTGCATCAATGCACGAGGTCACGAGAGCAGTCAGGCTATGGCTACGCTCCACGATGGGAACGCGCTGGGTCAGGGCCACCCCAGACTAATGCTGCTCCTCAGCATTAATGGCCTTGGGAACGATGGGCCTCGCTGTGGAAACAAAGTCTTCATGAACCCACCCAGAAATTAAAAGTCCAGCCTCACGGTGGAGTCAAAATTTGTTTTCAAGTCTAAGGAATAAAGCGATGGGTCTGTGATCCCAGATGCCCCTCCCTGGGAACCGCCCTCACCTTCCCAGGCCCCTACAGGGGAAGTCGGGGGGGCCTGTTCACTCCCTGCTCATCTGTGCATGGCTCCCTGGGAGCCGCTGGCCTGGAGGAGGGCTGCTGGGCAGGTTGTTCAGGCTCTTGGCATCCTGGGGACCATCCTGGGAGCCAGCTCCACGTCCACAGGGACCCAGGGTGACCTTGTCCAGAGTTCAGAGATGAGCAGCTCGTGGGGAAGGGCCCATGGGAGGCGTGAGCGAGTGCAGCAGGTAAACCCACTGACATGCTGCCCATTCCCTGTCTGTGCGTCTCTCCAAGCTCATCACCTTTCCATCTTAAAAGAGAACCTCCCTCCTTTTCATCTTTTCTTGCCTTTGACCCCAGGCTAGGCCGCTGCTCAGGGGTTTGCAGGCACCCCCACTGTGGCTGCCGTACCTCACACCTCTGCCCTGGTGTCTCGAGGGGACTCGGGCCCTTTCTTGTGACCTTTGCTCCTCAGTGTCCCTCTCGTGTGGCCTTGAACAAAGGCTCAGGAGCCTGGCAGATAAGATTGCTCGTGGCTTTGGCCGCGGGGGAGGGCTGCCCAGAGATTATGGGAAGGTGTTTTCCCCTCTCTGTTCAGAGGGTTTATGCAAATGCCAAGTCTGTTCTGTCCGCTCTCAGTGCCAGCACGGCTGACGGCGTCCTTCTCCCAACTGTCCCTGCTCACGCAGCTTTCCTCCTGTGTGGCCCCAGCTTCCTGTCGGCGGGTGGCCTGCCGTCTTGCGTTCCCGTGTAGTTGCTCTTCCGGCTGCCTGGTTTCCCAGGTCTCTTTCCGCTCTCCTCGGTGTAGTCGGAGAGCAGGACAGCCCAGGCCATGGCTGCATGTCAGGGTGCCAACTCGGCCCCGTGCTCTGTCCCTGCTCCCCAAAGCCTGACTGATAGCTGACCTGCCTGGTGGTCCTGCCCTTCCCCAGTCATCTAGGGACAGCTTCCCCAGACAGCATTGTGAATGAACTCTCTTGATTGTTCATCCAGTCCTTCTTCCCAAAACATCTGTCTTTAAAATGGTTGTTTACAGTTTGTATCCAGGTCTGAAACCACTTCTTCCTGGTTTGAGACCCCAGTCGGGGGAAGCCATTTGGTGCCCAGCTGGCTCATTCCCGCCCCACTTTGATCTGCAAAGTGCCCTGTCCCACAGGTGTTCCACCTGCGTGATTTTCTGTATCCAGGTACCACCTGCTCTATTGATTCATATTTTAAGGTATTTCCCAAAAGTTCCCTGGTAACCCAGTCATTAAGAGTCCGAGCTCTCACCACCCAGCACCCAGGTTCAGCCCCTCACTGGGGTACTGAGACACCACAAATTGCGTGGTGTGATCAAAAAACCTTCATGGGGTTAAAAAAAAAACTTCCACCTTTTAAACTTAAATACATTTTAAAAGGAAATTTTACACCCTTAACATGTAACAGACACCAGATCACTTGTCCTGGTGAGTCACTGTAGAAACAAAGTAAAAAATAAAAATAGTTTTCTTCAAACTAATTAAAGTCAGGAGCCCAGTCTCCCACATTTTGGGGAACATGGGCGAACTTGCAGGATGGGTTCCCGCATGTCCTGGGGTTGTTGTCGAGCTGAAGGAAGGTGGCGCTGGCCTTCAGCTCAGTCAGTGCAGGGCCTGCTCTGGCCCGTCCACGACACTAGCTGGAGAATGTGGGGCTCAAGGAACACCTCCAGGCCTGGTTCTGGTGCTCATAAGACAGCCAGACCATCTTACTGCAGCCAGAGTGAGGAAGCCTTGCCTTTCAGAGGTTGGGGGGCTGTGCAGCCACCTGTCTGGCCACAGGTGCTGTGTGCCGCGAGGGGAGAGGATCCAGCATTCTGCTTCCCCATTGCTGACGCACAGCCCTCAGTACTCACATGGCTCCAGTGTGAATCACGCACACCCTTGGTGCCCAGCTGTTTCTCTCTCCCTATATTGGAAGAGCCACAGGTTGACACTGCTGGGCCATTTTGATGACTCATGAAAATACCTGTGACCAAGGTGTTCCCTTTCCTGTTGTCTTTTCAGAATGAGAACAACACAGGAAGTGTAAAGGTGAAAGCAGCCTGGGATGGCCTGGGACTGGCACAAGTCAGCATGTGGGTTTCACTTCCAGGAGGACACGCTGGGAGCCAGCAGGGCAGTGGCTCAGCGTGTGGGGGCCGAGTTACAGGGTCTCATGCCTCCGTTCATTGTGTCCCTGGGGCAGTTTTAAATGCTGGATGTTGTTGCTGGTGGGGGCTCTTAGCAGATGGTCAGTATGGAGTCTGCTCATTGGTGGATAGACTGACTGAAAAGTTCTGAAGATATCAGCAGGCGGTGATTGTTTTATGTTGTGTGAATAAAACTGATGTTTTGCTGACACTCACGGAAAGTGGGGATAAATGTCAGGACCCTGTTCATACGTCCGACATGGTTCTGATCCAGAGCCCAGTGGGTCAGGCAGGGCTGACAGTGCTGCTACAGTTGTTCTCTAGGTAAACAGGCAGGACACTCCAGAGGCCTCTGAGAATTAGCATGTCTGGAATTGTGATGTGGTCATGTGTACAGATCAGATTCTGAAATAAGAAAAGGCAGATGAATGAGGGAGCACAGCCCCTCTGAGGAAGAATCTGTGCCTGGAGATGGCATCGCCCACACCTTCTGGAGGGAAAGCAGGTTCCCGGCCTGTGGGCTCAGGTGGAGGTGGCTCTGTAAGCCTGAACGAAGCTATTAACACTTGGAGCAAGTCACCAGTGAGTGGAAGCCAGTAGCCTGGGAAAACACCTGCCAGCGGAGGGTTCCCATCGTCATACCCCAGGAACTGCCCGGAAAACTGGCCAAGCACGGGCATAGCTGAAACCCCCAGGCGGCCTCCCGGAAGCGCTGGCTGTGCGCAGGGCTCTCTGGGCGTGGTGGTGCGCCTGGTGACACAGGACCCCAGGCTCGCTCGGGCAGGGAGTGTGGCAGGCACCATGCTGAGCCCAGTGTGAAATGCTTTCACTTCCAGGGAAGATATTTGACAACTTAGCAAGAACCTGTTAAAGGATTGCCTCTTTTGGCCCACTGATTCCACATCTTAAAAATTTACCCTTGAAAAGACAAGATGTTCATAAAGACTCAATAGAAAGGGTGATTTTATCGTTTGTGTTTTTTAAATACAGAAATAGCTAACAGAGAAACATTCAGATTATGTAACACCTGACAGTGAAGCACTGCTGTCCATGGTCAGGGAGGGCCACTCCAGGCGGGGCAGTCCCCGAGCTGCCCTGGCCGTACCTGCAGGGTCCCTGGTAGAGAATGAACACGGGCAAAGGGGACACTCGGACATGCTAGGAGCGGCTGTGCCAGGAGAGCTGGATGACAGGGGTTATTGCCCTGCTTCACTTTCTGTGATTTTTATCTGATCGACGTGTCAACAAGGCCAGCAGGTACCTTGGCATTGAACTGCTGTAGGTCTGGGGCCCTGTGTTCTCGGTGTTGCCCTGCCGAGCTGCCGCCCGCCCCCCCCCCCCCATTCACGCCCTCAGGACCCAGCTGTGATCCCACCCTCCTGGGAGGTTCAGCCCTGTGTGTTTCTGACTGGTGGTGACCTGTGGTGGGGGTGGGTTGTTCTGACCTGCTAGCGTTTGGTCTGGACACACATCTTCACACTGTTGACTTGTCCTGCCTGAGAACAAAGGAAGTATCTAGGGCTTAGGTTTATACTTAGAGTTTCTAACTCACTTGGAAACCAGGATTTCTTCAATGATGTTAGTGTCCTAAATGCTGGTGGTGCTGCCACCATGCGCCCAGCTCTAGGGCACACATACATGGGCCCCTTCCTCACGCCCCGCCCAGCACCTATGTGGTGGGCAGGGTGGGGATTCCAAGGGCACTGCTGGGTGGCCAGCTCCCCCGTGGCTCTGTGAGACAGCGCTCGTGGAGAGAGCCCTGCATGTCCAGTTCCAGGGGAGGTCTCCCGTTGCCAGTGTCTGCTGCCTTGTGTGTGTGGCATCCCTGGAGTGAGCTGTTAGGTCACGGTCTCTCCTCCCACACAGTTTCTTTCACCAAATGGCAGAGTTGTCTGGTGGGAGGTAGCCCCAGACTTATTAACCTCTCTGTGATTTCAGCCGTCAAGCTGAGCCACCAAAGAAGGAGACGGCATCCACAGGACCCCAGGTGAAGAGAGCCGACGAGTGGAAGGACCCCTGGCGCCGGTCCAAGTCTCCGAAGAAGAAACTCGGGGTGTCGGTCTCTCCGAGCCGTGCTAGACGGCGTCGAAAAACATCAGCCTCGTCGGCCTCTGCCTCCAATTCCTCCAGGTAAGGGAGGTCAGCAGGACTGTGTCTGTCTCCTCAGCAAGGCTGGGTTCTAGAGCATCACTGGCTAACAGGACTGACACTTAGCGCCAAGGCAAGGCCTCCATGAACCCCAGAATAAATGGTGAGGTGAACCAGGGTGCAGGCAGCCCAGAGCAGAGCACAGGCCTGGGCAAGGGTCAGCGAGGGAAGAGGCACTGCTGGCAGAAGAGCCAGGAGCAGCCTGACCTGGTGTCCAGTCAGTTCACCTGTCTCCTGCGAGCTCAGGTCAGCAGCTCTGAGATGTGTGTGTGCAACAGGTCTCCCAAACAAGTGAGGACGCTATGGGCAGTGAGATTGGGGGCGCTCCCTGAAGAGGGAGGAGGCTGGAAGTGTCTGTGGACTCAGTATTTCCACTACCTGCCCTGGTGGACACACAGATACACACGTGTGTGTCTGCCTGAGTCAGGCTGGTTCATCAGCACGCATGAGCATGTGTCCTGGCTCTGCCCGAGGGCCTGGGAGCTGTGTCACTCTTGACTGTGAGTGTACCCGGCACCTAGAGGTACTGAGCACCTCTCCCACGAGAAGGGGGCTGAACTTCAGAGAGTCCATGAGGTGCCCCAAGGGCGGAGTGTCTGATTGTGGGGGCGCGTCTGTGTGAGCGGTGCGGGGGAAGATGCCTCACCTCTGCTCTCCCCGGGCCAGGTCCTCCTCACGGTCGTCATCCTATTCCGGCTCCGGCTCATCCCGTTCCCGGTCCCGCTCCTCGTCCTACAGCTCCTACTCCAGCCGGTCCTCCAGGCACAGCTCGTTCTCAGGCAGCCGGTCCAGGTGAGCTGTGGGGAGAAACATGGAACCCAGCTGAGGAACCTGGGGGTTCTGGCGATCCCAGGGTGTGGGGCTCACCCGCAGCCGGCCCTGTGTGAGCAGTGGGTGATGCTGAACCCACGACAGAGCCCTGTGTCTGAGCTGTTCTCACAAGGTCAGGGGCGGTTTCTTCACTACTGACCGTTCCCCCAGGCTGTGTCCGAGAGCCCGATGCTCGGCGGCCTCCCGGCCAGCTCCCCTGTGACAGCTGATTGGGGTGTTGCGTGCCCCCAGCGTCTGTTTTTCCCCAGAGGTGCATTTTAGGAAATGACCAAGAGCCACCCCAGGCTGAGCCGTTGCCCCTCGGGGTGTGGATGGTGGGGTGCCCTCCTCACACCTCTGCTCCCCGCCAGGTCCCGGTCCTTCTCGTCGTCCCCGTCGCCATCCCCGACGCCCTCCCCACACAGACCTGCCAGAGCCAAGGGGGAGCCAGCTCCGCCTCCCACGAAAGCAGGGTGAGTGCTGCCAGCGGGCCCTGGGGAAGAGGGGCAAGCCTGGCCTTTCGATTCCTGGGCGTGGACCTCAGGCCACGGGCCGCATCTCTCCTCCATTGGGGCCCCAGACAGGGGACCCCACCGCAGTGCCGGGCCCCGGCCCCGAGCCTCACAGATGGGGTCTGCATGTGGACTCAGTCCTGCCACCGTGCTGGGCAGCTGCCTGTAACCCAAACGCTGTGTCCCACTGGCGGGTTTGCTCTGTGGCCCATCAGTCCCGTGCGTGTTCAGGGTGCTCGACACTGGCAGGGTATCTTCCCCATGCAACAGTGAACAACTACTTTGGGGCCATTTTCCCACCTGCCTAAGGTCCCCACTCACGAGCACATCCAGCCTTCCCCGAGGGCCGCCGCCCCCGCCATGCAGGGCAGGGGTCAGGGTGCCATTACTGAAGCAGTGTGGCCTGGCTTGTGGGCTCTCCTCCAGAGCTTTCCTGATGGCCCCATCTTCCTCCCTCTCCTGCCTTTGAGGAGGAGGCAGGGTGATGCTTGGTGTGGGGTGGGGTCTGCAGGAAACAGTGCCTCAGGTCACGGCACGGGATGTGTGTGTGTGTGTGTGTGTGTGTGAAGTGCATGTGGTGTGTGTGTGTGTGTGTGTGAAGTGCATGTGGGGTGTGTGTGTGTGTGTGAAGTGCGTGTGGTGTGTGGGTGTGGGTGTGTGAAGTGTGTGTGGTGTATGGGTGTGTGTGGTGTGTGTGTGAAGTGTGTGTGGTGTGTGTGTGTGAAGTGCGTGTGGTGTGTGGGTGTGTGTGAATGTGTGTGAAGTGCGTGTGGTGTGTGGGTGTGTGTGTGTGTGGTGCCCATGCCCCGAGGTTGGCCTGCAGGGCTGAGGCCTGCCCAGGTGCGTCTGAGCTCCCTGTGTCCCACATGACAGAGAGAAGCTGCTGAAGAAGCCAGCCCCTCCTCCAGCCCTACCGCAGGCCCCCAAAACCGCCACCACTGCCCCTGAGCCCACCAAGCCCGGCGGAGACCCTCGGGAAGCCAGGAGGAGGGAGCGGCAGGCCAGGAGCCCCCCCAGGAGGTGAGTGTACTGCCTTCCAGAGCTGGGGGAGGGGTGCTCCCAGGGACTCGGCATGGCCCCCAGCCTTGGTGTCCTAGGAGCTTGACGGCGAAGTCCCCTCCTGGTGGTGGCAGGGGAGTGGGGGCTGGTGGGGGTGTGGTTGACTCACTTTGTGGGGGGGAGTCCTCTATAGAAGAAATCCAAGCCCCGCCTGATTTCGGTGGCCAGTCCCTGGTGGATTGTTGGTCTTGGACCAGCGAGCCCTGGCTTTGGGGGCGCCCGCGTGTTGAGGCCCCAGAAACGTGAGCTGTGGCCTCTTGGTTGTGTTGTAGGCGCACAGTTAGCGGCAGCGGCAGCGGCAGCAGCTACAGTGGCTCCAGTTCCAGATCCAGGTCATTGTCATGTCTGTCCTTGCCCCCTCCTGTCCCGCAGCTTCTGCCCACGGTCAGGGTCCAGGAAACCCCGCAGAGGCCACCTCGGGTGCACACGGCCCCTCGCTTGGGCCGGCCCTGCCACTCCGCAGAGCTTGGGCAAGAAGGACAAGCAGGCCGAGGCAGCTGGGGGATGGCCTATTGAAAAGATCTGAGACAGGAACAAACAGAAGAGAATTCTGCCATTTAGTTTAAAAAGATGGTATCAGGTCAGTCCTGAGATTCTTTGAATTCAGTTTTCTCTTTCACTTGTAAGCAGCAGGTGGTATACACATTTGCCTGAATCTGAGTAGGTCTGCAGTCTATTAAATACCTAACCTTTCAAGAAGGCTGGGCTCTGGGCTTCCCTGGTGGTGCAGTGGTTAGGAACCTGCCCACCAGCACAGGGGACGCGGGGCAACTGAACCTGTGCGCCACTAGAGAAAGCCCGAAGACACAGCACTGCCAGAAATAATACGTATGAAAGGCTGCCTCTTGCCTTCCCTGCTGGAGCTCCGGGCGTGGGGCTGGCAGTTTTCTCAGAGAGCGGAGCCCTTATGTAGCCTGGGCTGTGACGGGACTGGACCGAGGAGACCATCCATGTCTCAAGCCTCCCAAGCCGGCCCCTTGGGGCGTCTCTGACGCAGTGTCTGCTCGTCCTGCAGCCCATCCCCGCCCTCTGTTGTGTGTTGGTCACATGCAGTTGTGCATCCCTGCCCAGCTAACAGTGCGGGAACCATGAGCACGAGGGCCTGGCCCCGGCCTTGCAGGTGTCCCCTCACTGGGTGGCACCTGTAAACTGTCCAGAGCCCCTAAAGCCTCAGGCTGGGGGGTTCCCCTTCCCTGGGGTTCGGGGCCGTGTGGGCACAGACGTGTCTGTCTGTGCAGATCACTGAGCGTGAGCAGCGTGTCCTCAGTGTCCAGCGCCACGTCGAGCAGCAGCTCAGCGCACAGCGTGGACTCGGATGACATGTACGCAGACCTGGCCAGCCCCGTGTCCTCGGCTAGCTCGCGGTCGCCCACCCCAGCCCAGACCAAGAAGGAGAAAGGTAGGTGCCCACAAGGTGTGCCAGGCCTTGGGGTCCCAAGAGGAGAGGTGGTGTGGGCTGATGACACCTCCCCCAGACAGCACGCAGGCAACTGCCTCACTGGAAGAGAGGCTATGAGGGGGCGTTTTTCCTTGGCAGGAAAATCTAAGAAGGAAGATGGTGTGAAAGTGGATAAGCGGAAACGGGATTCGTCCACACAGCCGCCCAAACCCTCAAGAACCCCTGCGGGCGGCAGGTCCTCCCAGCAGCCCACCACCCCCCAGCAGGTGCCAACAGGCCAGCCCCCAGCAGCCACGTTCATCGCCCACAAGGAGATCAAGTTGACGCTGCTGAACAAGGTGGGGCTGTGGGCAGTGCTGTTGGGGCCCCAAGACCCATGGCTGGGCCAGGTAGCGGCTCTCCACACCGCCTGGTTTGTCCTGCCCTGATGGACAGCCTCATGGGCTGTGCCGCGTGGGCAGGGGGTTGACAGTGGGAGAGGAGCCAGTTACCACAGGACAGCCCTGGGACCTGGGTTGGGGGGCAGAACAGACGTGGCCTCTCTGAGTTGGCGGCCACAGTGCCCAGGAGACTGGAGGGCCTGAATCCCATCCCTGGCATGGCGGCCCGGAGACCAACGGCCCTGCCTCACTTGGGGCCACGTGGCGCAGGGGCCCCAGAGGAGGGCCCGCAGGAGTTGAGAGCAGGTGGCTGCCTGTGTCCACTCAGGCCTTGGTCCTGACTGCACACTTGTTGTTCCAGGCTGCTGACAAGGGGAGCAGGAAGCGCTACGAGCCCTCAGACAAGGACAGGCAGAGCCCACCACCAGCCAAGCGCACCAACCTCTCCCCGGACCGAGGTGAGCCTCTGCCTCTGGAGCCGCACTTCGTGTGCCCTGAGAAGTATTGAAGCCCCCAGGGGGCTTTCGACCAGGTGGTCCGCATCTGTCAGCATTTACAATTTTAGAAGTGAAAACCGTAATGCTTTGACTTTGTGTTTTAACACAAAGAAGACTTTTTTATGGAAAATGTATCTTCAGAAACAGAAGCTATCAGGAGTAGCACTGTTTTTTTGTTTTGTTTTTTCCCACAACCTCCTTACAGCTGGGGTCATCTCTTGTTATCACACAAGTTGCTCAACCTAGGAAACCCCACCTGGGCTTGTGAGGCCCTGAGCTTGTGGGCTTGTGAGGCCATGAGCTTGTGGGCTTGTGAGGGGGCGGCGTCTCAGTGCTGCAGGGTGTGCCTGGCTTGCTCCATTAGTAAAGTGAAACCCCAAGTGTTGCCAGGCCATCTTCCCCCTAAAATAGAAGGAGAGGGCCCAGCACACCCCACCAGGAGCAGGAGGAGGACACGGCACACCCCTGAAACACACACACACCCACCCACCCCAGGCTGCCCATATGCCTCTTGAGTGGTGGGACCCCTCTGTGCGCCCTCACTCGGGGCCCACACTCACAGGGCAGCAAGCACTCCTGTTCTTGGTCTTGCTTGCGGTCTGTAAGCAGCCGTGTCTTTTTGTTCCCCACTTGACCTGCACTGAGTTTCTTCCAAGTCAGAGGAGGACGGTTTTGGTCTGCTTGGCCTTGCACACTGGAAGCTCCTTGTTTTGAATGACGCTGATGGTGGTTCAGGAAACCAAAACCCAAATTAGACCTGGGCACTTTTGAGAATGAGGAAGCTAAGCTGAATGGCCGCCGTTCTCTGGCGTGGGGTCACCAGGGGCCAGAGAGAGGCTGCCCCTTCCCTGCCTGTGCCCACTAGCCCCTGTGCAGCTGGGCCCACGTGGAGCTGGGACCCTGGTCTTATGCTGTCCCCTGTCACTCAGGTTCTCGGGACCGGAAGTCAGGTGGGAGAGTCAATTCCCCGAAGCCAGAGCGGCAGAGGGGCCAGAATTCCAAGGCCCCCTCGGCCCCAACAGACAGGTGAGTGTCTCCCCGTAAACCCCCCTGCCCCTACCCTGGGTACAGCACATCAGGTTCTTGGCCGCAGAGAGGGCCAGCTGAGCTTTCTCCCCAGGTGGAGGCCTGAGCTGTCAGGACTAGCTCAGGGCAGTCTCAGAGGTGCTGGGAAGGTTTTGCTGGCCCGTGTTTTCACCCTGGGCCCCCAGCGGGTCCTAGAGTACAGAGCAGCCTGTGAGCGCGTGGCTTGTGGCCGGAGGGCCAGGGGCCAGTTGGCAGCAGCTCTTCCCTCCCTCCCACTTGGCTCAAGAAGAGGGAGCGGGGCTCACCTTTTCCTTGGAAACAGGCTGAGTCCCTGAGCACCAGCACCCCGGGTTCGGGTGGAGGGCCAGGCAGGAGGGGCATGGGCACAGCCCCACACCCCCAGCCCTTGGCACACAGCGAGGACCAGAGCGGGACAACCAGGTCAGGGGGCTCCAGGTGAGCCCCGGAGCTGTGCCCGCCACCTCCCAGATGTGCTCCACACGGGGGGCCTTGCTGACCGTGGCCAGAACCCGAGCTGGGCCCCGGACGCTCATCTGTGGTGGGAGCCTCGTCCGCTGGGGAGGGGGTGCCTTCTGCCTAGCAGGTACAAGTCCTGGGGCCCAGGCCCTGACAGGAGGCTCTCAGAGAGCAGCCCTGATGGCCTCCCCACCCCTGCAGGAAGCGCCCGCTGTCACCCCAGTCCAAGAGCTCCAGCAAGGTCACCAGCGTGCCTGGCAAAGCCTCGGACACCAGCACCACCGCCGCCGCGGGCACCAAGTCAGGGAAGGCCAGCACGCTGTCACGGCGGGAGGAGCTGCTGAAGCAGCTCAAGGCCGTGGAGGACGCCATCGCCCGCAAGCGGGCCAAGATCCCCGGGAAGGTGTAGCCCGGGCTCTGCTCCCCGAGGCAGGGACTAACCTGTTTTTATAAATAGGGTAAGCGCAGCCATTTTGGATTTTGCAGTTTATGTCTTATTTTGGCTGTGATTCTTTTTAAAAATTAAAAAAGAAAAAAAAAGTTTCTCAGCTGGAAAAGAAGCCACACATTTAATGAAGATGACGCTGAATCCCAAACTGAACCAACCCCTTCCCAGAGCAGAAGTCCTGCGAGCCAGGTGGGTGGGGGCGTGGCGGCAGCGAGGACCAGCTCCGATTTTATGTCAGTTACGAGTCCTCCCTCCGCTCTGGCAGGCGTCCTCAGCTCCGCCCTCCTCTGTAACCAGGAACACTGAGTGCTGCCGAGCGTCTTCCCCACCCCGCCGTCCCCAGGATCAAAAATATATATTCTTGACTGAAGTCTGATTGGAAAATACTCCTGTCTTTTATTTTAAGCATCAAATTGTTTTAGTTGATTTAAAATGGAAAAAACAGAAAAGACTGAAAAAAAAAAAACAGGCCGAGGGTATTGTTGGGCATCTGTCAGATGTGGAGGGTCTTTTTTTGAGGGGTCTCCTAAAATAAAATATTTTGATAAACAGCTTTGTTGCCCTGGTGGTGATGTTTGCCTGTGCCCATCCCCCCTGCATCCTCCCCTTGGCGTTGCCCACTGGGCATCGCTGGCTGAAGGAGGCCATCGAGATGCCCCTGGAGCTGCTAGCCCGGCCCCGTGGCACCCCCACCTGGTTTCCTTGTGGTTGGCTGGCCCAGCGGGGCTTCCTGAGGGCCGCCATCTCTGCCTGGACCGGAGGCCACCTTCCCGGTGAGCCCTGGACCAGCGATACTCCAGCCTACAAACCAGTTCTCCACCGAGTGCCTCACATAAGGTTGGACCCCACGTGGACATGCAGGTGTCTGTGTGTGAGACGTCCTGGCGGGGCCACGCTGCCATCCCAATGCAGGGCAGGAACGCCGCCACACCCTGCTTAGCCCCTGCTCCCCTCCCAGAGGACCAGGACCACTGGAGGGAGACCCTCCCTTGTGGGTTGACTTTGCAGAGTGCTGCCAGGGGCCTGGGAGCTCCCCTACCCAGACCGATAGCAGGGCCTCTGCCCTCAGAAGACTACCTTTAAAGCAAGTCCCATGAGTCCTGGCAGACAACTCACATCCCAGAACTTCACTGTGGGGGTGTCAGGAGGAGCCACCTAGGGCTCTGGCCTGGGGTCGTGACCCTGGAGCTGCGTGCAGTGACCAGGTCCTCTGCCCTAAGGCTGCGTGGCCCTTCAAATGTGGGACAGGAGAGCCGGGCGGGAGCCAGCGTCGTGGGGCCTCCAGTGGCCTATCCGCAGTGCCGGCCCCGCAGCACAGCACATGTAAGGCCTCTTGCACCACCGACCTCATCATGGCGTGTGTCTGGGTAATTTCTCAGGTCTTATCTGGTTTGCCATCAGGTCACAGCCAGGTGCAGAGGGAACTCCCATTCTCCAAATGGGCGGCCTTCGAGGACACGGGGCAGGAATGCAGAGCACCTCGGGTGACAGCCTGGCTCTGCACGCTGGGCCCCAGGTGCTGGGCCCCACCAGCCAGCCCGGCGGTGATGACCTCTGAAGCCAGGAGTCCACAAGTGAGCCCCCATGCAGCCGAGGGGCTGGCCTGACCCGACCTTTCATGCCTGGGCTGGACCTGTGGCCTTGGGTCCCTGGACTGGGGCTGGGTTTAAACTGGCATCTTGCCCTCTGCCACCTGGGGGCAGGGACCTGTCCCAGGAGGGCTGAGAGCACACCCAGAGCCAGCTCCCCCACAGGTCTAGTGGAAAGAACATTCCAGGCCAAGCATCTGGGAAAAGGGAGGCTCCGTGGTGTAATGGGTTCTCAGCATCTCTACCCTCCAGGGAATGTGCAGCCAGGCTGTTCACCTGCGAAGATGGGAGCCACGACCTGTTCCTCAAGCCCAAGCTCTGCTTCCCGCCCCTCCTCCAGCCCTCCTCCTCCATGGCAGGCCCTGCCCCTCCAGCCTCCTCCTCTGCAGCAGACTGCCGAGCCTTCCCTGCCCACTAGCGTTCCTCCCACCCCAGGGCCTTTGCACACACTATTTCCTGTTCCTGGAACTCTGACCCAGCTGCGCCCCACACTTCCTCTCGCAGCTCCGACCAGGCCTGCTCCGTCCCCTCCCTTGTCCACTGCCCGAGTGCCATCTTCGAGCTGGCTCTCTGTAGGGTAAACTGAAACCCCAGCCTTCTGAGTTTTCTCATGTTAACCCTCCTCTTCTCCAGGGAAGGGGTCAGGTCTCAGTTACACATCCCCACCCATGAGGAGCAGCAGCCCTCAGGACCTCTGCCCACCAGCTCACCCCGCGGGTCCCACCTCCAGCTTCAGGTGAGGCCTTCTCCCCTTCTCTTGAAAGGGTAAGAAAAGGAAGACACCATGTTTTTAGTTTATAGTTTTTCTAACTCAAATGTGAAGTATAGTCTCCAACGTACGAGTGAACACATCAAGCTAATGGGGCAGCTCAGTTCAGTAACAGTGAAGTTCCCTCGGGTTTCTCATGATGGGGGTCACACTGCCTGCCACCCCACGACCCTGCTGTCATCTACCGCTGACTCGGACACACCCTCCCACCTTGTGCCAACTGTCCAGCAGCCCCTGTGACAGTCCCACCAGCACCCCAGCCCCTCAGGCCTGTACACCCCAGATGACGGCAGTCCGCCTCCATTGGCAGGAGGAGTTGGGCTGAAAGGAGGCACAAGCCCTGGGTACACAAGCAGGGACCCCCACCCTGGTCAGCCAGCCCCTGAAGGGCCATGGACTAGGACAAGGCAAAGAGATTGCTCCTGACAGTGCCAAGTTTGGGGAGCACAAGGAAACTGGACTGTGGCAGAGACTCACCATGGGCAGCGCTGCCTGGGCCCAGTGGTCGAGAAGGCCACACTACAGGAGGGAACGGGGAGGGGATTTCCACCCCCACTTTACAGATGGTACTGAGGTCTGCCCCTAGGTCTCCCCATAAGATGGGGGAGAACTTTGAGCCTGGAGTTGCAAGAGCCTAGAGCAAACCCGTCCTGCAGGCCACCTCCCCAACTCCAGCCAGGGCTGCAAGGGCTCCGAGTCATGGGCAGGGACAGAGGGACTGTCCCTGCTGAGTCTGTCCATGTGTCTCCTGCCCTGGATCTTTTTCTCTCTCTGCTGCCTTCTGTCCTCAGTGTCTGCATTTGTCCGAGTCTCCTTGGACCTCTGTGCCTATTTCCTTCCATCTCTCCTCCCATACCTCCATTTCCCACTCTGTTCCCCCTCCATCCCCTTTCTGCATCTCTCCAGGCAGGGACTTGGGAGCATGGACCTTTGGGTGCAGTCTGGGGACAGGGATGTGGTGGGTGTGGTTTAGTGGTCTGGGGGCGGAGCCATCCAGGACATCTCCTCCACAATGCCCTCTGGCCTTCCTCCTGCAGCCACCTTTCCAGTCTTACCCAACCCGGTACTGGTGTGCTTGCCTCAGCCACCCGCAGGAATGAGGCATTGCTGGGCCCCGCCCTGTCTTTCCGGCTGGTGCCCCGGACCCCGACCCCAACCCCAACCAGCCCGCCAGAACCCACAGAACAGCTCAGGGCAGCGGTGAGGGAGGCACATGGCCTGGCCTCAAGACTTGTCCCTGACTCGCCCACTCACTCAGCTGTTCAGAAAGACACAGAAATTGCCAGAGCTCAGCCCTCGGCGTAGGGACCACTGCACAAGCGAGTTCTACAGCCTTTCACTTCCAAAGATCCTGTGTGGAGACCCCAGCCGCTCGAAGGCAAGGCCACTGCTGGGACCACCTCCCCGGTCTCCAGGTGGCTTCTCCCCAGGGGCTGTTGCCAGGCACAGGTACCACTTCCCCTCACTCCTGGGGCCCAGGCAGGAGGGACTGGAATTTCTGAGGTCCCAGTGCCCTGCAGAAAGGCGGGGTCTTTCTCAACCTGAGCATCAGGCCCAGGGGAAGGTATAAGGGGCTCTGTTGTTTCCCTAAAACCATGTCGAGGTCCTAATAGCCCCAGTGCTCGTCAGGAATGTGCCTGAGAAAAGGGTCTCTGCAGCCGTGGTCAAGGTGAGATCTTGATGATGTCTTCCTGGATTTGGAGAGTGTGGAAGCCGTGGAGAAGGAGAGACACCTGGGGAGAGAGGCACCCACAGAACTCCAAGGACCACAGGAGCCACCAGGGCTGGGAGAGAGGCCCTGCCTACACTGACCTGGGGCTTCCGGCCTCCAAACCTGAGAAAAGACACTTCTCTTAAGGCCCCCAGTTGTGATGAATACAGGTGGTGAGCTCCCCACTGCAGGAGGTGTATCAGCAGAAGGTGGGTGGCCATGGGCAGGGGTGTGGTAGGCAGGAACAGCCTGGGAACTCAATGTGTCCATCCATTTAATGGGAAGAAGCCGGGAGAACAGCTATGAAGCAGCGCCTGCTTCGGGAATGTTTACTCCAGATCAAGGCAGGGAGGGAGGGTAGACTGGAGGCCCAGAGTCATGCACTGCCCAGTAGAGGCCCTGGGAGGGCCCAGGTGTTACCCCGCCTCTCCCAGCGCTGTCTCAGGGGTCTTCCCATCCACCGAGTCTGGGCCTCCAAGCTCAGACTGGTGCCTTGATGGTGTACATTCTGCCTCCTGTGGGCAGGTGGGAAACCAGGAGAGCTGGCCCCATCCTCCACGGCGAGGCCCTCCTCAGCTGGATATGTGGTACAGATTCCAGAGACCAGGGCAGACGGGCCCTCCCAGGATGGCATCCAAACCTAGCATTCAAAACTTTGCAGAATCTGGCTCCAAACCGTCTCCTTTCCAGGATAACGAAGCCCCCCACCCCAGCACCCCCAGCCAGCTGCAGAGTTGCTACAGGTGGGCTCCTGGGGCCTCCTTAGAAAGCTTCCTAGGGCACCCTGCACCTTAAAGTTTCCAGGGCATCATCACCCCCTCACGCTTAGACTTACACTTTGTTGATAAAACCACAAAAACCCAACAGAGAAACCTGAAGATGCTCACCAGCCCCTGTTCCTTCTGGAACCTCCCCTCTGGCAGGAGGAGTGGATGAGAATCAAGCCTGGTGGGGGACTAGACAGCAGCGCAAAATGAAGGAGCCCCCCGCCCCCAGGGCACCAGGTCCAAACCGCAGAAACCTACAAGTGGCTAGGACTCAAGTTTACAGAAGGTTCAAGAGTGTCACAGACAAGACCCTTCATTCTCAGCCACATTTGCAAGTGCTTGGCCCGAGGCAGGGTCCCCCTGGGGGGCGCTGGGGAGGGATGGGGGAGAGATGGAGGTGGCGGAGGAGGGAGGGAAGTGGGCCCACCCTGTGGGGGGAGGGAACGGTCACAGGGAGGGAAGGAGGAAGCGCAGCCAGGCACTTCCCGAGGAGGAAGCGGTGCCCGGATTTTCCCCAGGTGTGGCCCCAGGTATAAAGGGCGCCACAGGCCAGCCGCCGCCAGGTCAACCACCAGGGACGCGTTCGGAGCCGGGAGCCCAGAGCCCAGCCCCTGCTGCGATGGTAAGACGCTCCTCTCCCCGCACCCCCACCTGCATGGGGCCACCTGGCCCCGAAGGGCTGGTGGTTCACTGACCCCCAGGCTGAGGATGTGGGGGGTAGGGTCCAGGAAACCCATCAGATCTCGGGGTCAAAGGGAGCCAGGATCCTGGATGCCAGGTTCGCTGGCGAGCTTGGGCTGAGAGGCTGGCCCCTCTGGACCTCCTGTTCCCTCAGCTGTAGAGGGAGGCTACACCTCCCCCACCCCATCCTTCCACCGGGAGCAGAGCCCGCGGGTGGCAGTGGAGGGTCCCGTCCCTGACTACCCCTGACCACCCACTGCCTGTTCCACCAGCTCCTCCCTGGCCTCCTGCTTCTGCTCTGGCTTCCCGCCAGCCTGACTCGCCACGCCCCCTCACTCCGGGTGGGGGCCCACCCCCACTCCCAGAGCCCTGGGACCCCGCACTGCTACTCTGCCGAGGAGCTGCCCCTGGGCCACGCCCCCCCACACCTGCTGGCCCGAGCTGCCAAGTGGGAGCAGGCATTGCCAGTGGCCCTGGTGTCCAGCCTGGAGGCGGTGGGCCGCAGGAGGAGGCGTGCAGGGGTCCCGGCCGGGACTCAGTGCCCCGTGCTGCAGCCAGGGGAGGTGCTGGAAGCTGACGTCCACCAGCGCTCCATCTCGCCCTGGAGATACCGGTGAGGGCGGGCTCCCGGGGCCTGGGCTCTCTCCCCGTGACCTGCGGCTGGCGGTTCCAGCTCCATGAGGGCAAGGGTGAAGCTCCACATGAGCCAATCCTCGCCCCATGTCTCAATTGCAGCCCAGACCTGGGACACCAGGGTCCTCTGGGTTATTTGGGGGCCCCTATCTGAGCCCTTGCAGGGGTGAGACTGGGACAGGTGGGGAGAGAGCAGGCTTCCATGCTCTGGGAGGCCATGGGGCACGTGCATACTCGCACTCAATTGGGCACCAGCTGTGTGCCATGTGCTCTCAGCGCCCCACACCGCAGGCCCTGGGCCCTGAGTGCATATGGCTTGTGGGCGTGGAGCATGGGCAGGGAGGGAGGCGCCCTCCAGGCTCTCTGACACCTGCTTGTCCCCGCAGCGTGGACACTGACGAGAGCCGCTACCCACAGAAGCTGGCCTTCGCCGAGTGCCTGTGCCGGGGCTGTATCAGCGCCAAGACGGGCCGTGAGACGGCTGCACTCAACTCGGTGCCGCTGGTCCAGAGCCTCCTGGTGCTACGCCGCCGGCCCTGCTCCCGGGACACCACGGGGGTGCCCACACCAGGGGCCTTCGCCTTCCACGCTGAGTTCATCCGCGTGCCCGTGGGCTGCACCTGCGTCCTGCCCAGGTCAGCCCGGTGACTGCCGCTTGGCTCCTGAACTGGCCTGCAGGGAGGCCCTCCTATTTATGTGTATTTATTGGTTATTTATGTGCCCCTGGGGTCTTGGGCAGGTACGAGGCTCCAGGAAAGGCTGGCTCCAGAAAAGGCTGGAGGGGGGTGGTGGGGGCCTGCGCCGGGCAGCCCCCACCTCGAAAGACACAGTTTACCCTTTCACAGAAACAGCTGGGCTAGAAGGAACATCTTCACTGTTCTAGGACTTGTTAAAACACCTACAGAAAAGGGAAACTGTGTTCTGATAGCTGCCTCCACCTCCAGGCCCCTGGGCGCCCCTCACCGCAGCCCCTTGGGAGGAACAAGTACCCCTGTGTTTCTAAAACAGCTATTTATTTTCCATGTGAGTCTATGTTGTTTACTTGATAAACCACCCCCAGAACACAGACCTGGATGGCAGAGAGCAGTGGGTGAAGCTCCTCTCTCACTTTCACCCCCGCTGGGCCCTCTATACCCATCTGGTGCCCAGGGGGCAGTCACTGGTGTGGTGTGTCCTTCTAGAAAGATCTGTGCATGAACCCAGGTGCACCCAGGGTGGGGTGGGTTTCAACAGAGGAGTCCAGGTGTGCCCTGATGGATGAGCAGTGGCTCCCGGGCCTGGTAGTGGGCCACACTCCCAAAGCCCAGCCCTCTATTCACAGACATGGCTGTGGTCCCTGGGGACCCCCTCCCCACCCCACGGACAGGTGTCCTTAGGGTAACTTCCGGGCAAGTGGTCAACTCAGGGGACATGTCTTTAACCTGGCTGAGTCATGCTCCCCCAGTCCCAACAGGGTACAAGAAAACTCTAGACACCCCCTAGGGCTTCTGTCTACTGTAGGTGACCTGCCAGAGAGGGGCAGCCAAGCTAACAAGCTCAGTCAGCTACCTGGGAACTGCCCGCCCGCTCATAGCAGGATATTCTGGATCAGAGCATGTTCCAGGCAGTGAGTTTAGAGGCTGAGTGCACAGCCTCAGCGCCCTGGCTCAGTCACGACCCCCCTTTAGAGTCTCAGTCTCCCTGCTACCCATGATGCACCTTGGCTCCGAGGGCTGATGCTGGGCCGCGGGGCTGCAGGATGATTGTCTGCAACCCCCTGCTGTTTTCACCCGATGACTGACACCTACTGTGTGTAAGGCCCAGGAAGGCAGGAGGGTCTAGAGAAGGTTTGCTGGAGGAGGTGACCTATGTCTTGAGCCTGGAAGGAGTCTTCAGTCAGCACTTAACGCCCTGAGTTTCAGCCACGTGCCCAGCACTGGGAACAGAGCAGTGACAAAACGCTCAGCCGCCCGCCTGTCCCATGGGTGACTTGCAGCCACAGGACCCGAGGCAAAGTGCTTGGCCTGTTGGTGGTGAAAAGATCAGGAAGAGAGGGACTGCAGTGGAGGCCAACTGAGGACGACCCTAGTGGCCACCCAGGGCCCCGTGCTCCAAGCAGAGGGAGCGGCCCGTGCAGAGGCTGTGTCTGGGAGGTCAAGGGAGGTCCAGTGGCTGGAGGCCAGTGGGCAGGGTGACGGGGTGGGGCTGGGGTGGGGTGGGGTCTGCCATGTGTTCCTGTGAGTCTCTGGGCTCTGAGCCGGGCACTGGGCAGGCCCAGGTAGCGCTGGGAGTGGCCAGGGGATGGGGAACGGTGAGCCAACTGGATTTATGCTGAAGACAAAGTGTTGGTTGATGGGCAGGGTGCCCTCCAGGTCAGAGGTCCCAGAGACCCCGATTCTGAAACTGTGAGAGCAGGAAGCCAGTGATTGAAGGATTTTCCCAGACTTTGGGGGACTGGATATCCAGGAATGAAGGGCCTCCCAGGCTGAGGTGTGAGCTGATGAGCTTTGGGGCCCCTTCCATGGCTTGTATGGTGTGTGTGTGTGGTGTGCTGGGGGAGTAAGCAGGGGACATGTGTGGTGTGTGTGTGTGTTATGGAACCAAATTTGGGTCTCTTGTCTGTTGATTACCCCCCACCCTCCCTCACTGTCCTTAAAAACTTTTCCCCGAAAGCCGTGAGGGGGCTGGAGTTCTGAGTGTGAGCCACTTGGCCTCCTGGCTCAGCGCCTGTGATAACACTGCCCTTTCCTTCACCACGACCCAAGTCAGTAGGTTGGCTTTGCTGCATGGGGGTAAGGGGACCTGAATTTGGTTTGGTAACAGTTTTTGCGACCCAGAGCGGGTGGAAGTTCTTGTGTGGGCACACTACCTGTGGCACATCGACCCCGGGGTGGCCCGAGGGGTGCTCCAGCAGGTGAGCCCTGGCAGATCGGGGGTCTGGGGGGACACAGGCCCTCCCCCCAGACCTGAGACATTCATTTCCAGAGCAGAAACACAAACACAGGGAATTCCAGATACATGATTCATGGAACAGGCGAGGCACCAAGACCCCAGCCCTGCTGTCGAGGAACCCCAAGGAGGTTGCAGGAAAGGGGGCATCCCTGGCTGGGCGCCACATACCCCCACCCACCCACTGGCCTGCCCACAGGAGGAAGGACCTTCAAAGCTTCAGCGGGCCGGAGCGGCTTGAGGTTCTGGTCACACGACCTCATCGGTCACTGGCATGGGGTTTTCCTTGGGGCCACCCGGGGGGACCCCCGCCGCCTCCTCCTCCTCACTCGGCTTCTTGCGGGCCTCGGCCGGGGGCCGGGGTGGAGGGTTGCTGGGCGGCTGCTTGATGGTGCCCCCAATCTGCGGCCGCTCCTTGGGTTTGGGCTCGATGGGGCTCCACTGCTCCCCACGGATGGCCGCCTGCAGGACATAGACAGGCTGGGCCTGGGTCCTCCCAGGCCGCCCCGCTACCCATCCCTGTGCTCCCCCACCCCCGCCAGGGTCCAGGACAGGCCTGAACTCAGCAAGACCTGAGGGGCTGTAGCTCAGAAAGGTTATGTGCCAGGCCTGAGGCTACATGGTCAGCACCCAGCTGTCTCACAAGCCAGGAGACACGACTCAAGAGGGGGACAGTGGAACCCTGGGGCTTTTGAATGACCCCTGGAGGCTAAGACCAGACTTCCTCCCAGGGACTAAGGGCTGGGAGCAGGACAGGAGCCCAGGCCTAAGGGGCATGATGCTGAACCGAGGCCAGCAGCTCTGGGCGGGGGTGGGGGGTGGGGTGGCAGGCGTAGTGTGGGAGGCCGGGGGCCCAGGCATGTCGAGGGGGGAGATTGCAGCCCAGTGAACTTGCCGAAATGCAGAGTCCTGGGCCTACCCCATGGCCACAGGCCAAGTGGACCTAGAAATGTGTATCTCTAACTTTGTATCCCATTAGTTAAAAAAAAAGTGACAGCATATAATTTATGAAGCATAAGAATGAAAAGAAGTTCTATAATCACACCTCCTAAGTTAAAGTCTAGAACACTCTATCCCAGAAGCTAAAACTAGAAAGTTAGAGAATGCAGGAAAATATAGCAGACAGGCAGCAGGGGGTAAAAAAAAGCACAAAAAAAGCAGAAAAAAGCACAAAGTAGAAAAACAATTTAGAAGACAAACTTGTGTTCTGCTCAGTGAAGAATCCATGGGCAAAGGTGGATCCCTAACAGAGAGGAAGTATCCTCAAAAGCTAAAACCTACAAAGGGTTCACAATGAAAGCACACATGCGGTTTCTGCAAACTAACAAGACAAAACCCCAACAGAAAACTGGAGGAAAGATCCGAACAAGCAGCACAGAAGGACTCAGCTGCGACATATGAGGGGGATGCCCGGGGTTGGAATTAGTAGAACAATCAAGTCGAAACTGACTCTGGGAGGCTGGAGGCTGTGGCTGGGTTGGAACCCATGGCTTAGCAGGCTGACAGTCGGCAGGCAGCATGCGGAGAACAGCGGGCATTCAGCAACCTGTGCCTGACAGGGATCCTCGTCCCTCCCCGTTCCACTGTCGTCCACCTCCCTGCCCCCTCCTCCCCACCTCCCAGCCTCCCCACCCTGCTATAACGATGGCCTTAAGGGGCCGTTTGCATAACCTGGACTCCAGGCAAACCCAGCCCCGTGCGGCTTGTGACATCAGCCAGGCTCATGAGTCCTGGGGAAGTGCCCCTGGCAGCATCCTGAACTGGATAGAAAACTTTGAGCTATGGATCCCAATCCAAGCAGGGCCCGGTGGGCCAGACATGTCCTCTCTCCTAGCTTTTGCTGCTTGTCTATAAAGTGGGGACCCCCCTCCCCTGTCGAGGCGCTGTGGCATGGGTTATAGGAGGATATAGGGGAGTGGCTAGCACGTTAGATGGGCCACACGTGGAGGCCACATTGTCACTGTCCCCACAATGTAAGCCAGGACACGGGCTCAGCTTGCAGGACCAGCCTTGAGGCTGAGGCTGACTGCAAGGATGCTACCCACCAGCAGGTAGATGCCACTTGCGATGGCCAAGCAGGCTGTCCCCAGGATGGTGGCGAGCAGGAAGCCAGCAGGTACCGCCAGCCTGGAGTAGGGGTGGAGGGCAGTCAGAGGGGACAGGGAAGACAGAAGATGGTCAGAGTGGGTCCACAACTCCCCCACCCCCGAAATAGGTCAGACAGCATAGGATCACAGGACCCTGAATGGAGGGGAGGCCTAGTGCTGCACAACTGGACTTCTAACTTCACCCTGAGCTGTTCTCTGCCTGGTCTGCACCTTCCCAAGTCTTGGGACAGAGCTCTTGGCCCCCAGCCACCACCCTGGAAAGAGGTCTCTTGGCAGCTGCAGGGGTACCGGGAGTGGTGGTCTCTCTGGAAGACTCACCAGGGCGGCTGAGCCATCAACCCTGGAGCACCAATTATCCCTGCATTAAGGTATCAGGCTGGGGTGAAGTGTTAATGACAAATACAGGTTTGGGGAGCCCCTGGCAGAGCCTGGGACCTGGGTTTTTGTTTGGAACGGGTTCTGGGCTGGGAGGGGCCTGATTGATTCCGGCAGTCCTCTGCCGATGGTACTGGGGGGTCCCAAGTGGGCGCAGGCTCACCCAAGGTGCAGGAAGGCCCGGATGTAGTAGTTCCTGGTGAGGGGCCCAAACAGCTTCACCACTTTGGTCAGGTACTTCTGTCCACTAGGCAGGAGGAGGAGACAGGCCGTGTCACCCTCCACCCACCCCAGCCTCTCAGACCACCCGGTCCTTCGTCCCAGGGAGGGGAGGGGGTCTCAGGTCCAGTGGCAGGGCAGACTCTGATTGGGCTGGTGCTGGAGCCTCAGAGAGACAGGAGCGACAGGCTCCTCGTAGTGACAGCTGGAGGGAGGAGGGTGCCCAGAGCTGGGTGAGAAACTCACCACCTCTCCATGGTGGAGCCCTTGCTCCTCTTCCCCCGGGGGTACTCCAGCATGCAGACCAATACACCCGCTGCTCTGAAGCGGAGGTTAAGGAACAGCCCAGATCAAGTCTGAGAGGCCCCAGAGAGTCAGCTTTTTTGATGAGAGAACCGGGAGGTGTGGCCACTGCCTGAGGTCCACAGGATTCCAACAGGTCTGGCCACAGTGCGGGCAGCCTCCCTTCCCCATGCCTGCCTTGGCCTCTGGAGAGCTTGTAACAGCTGGACTGGCCAGGACAGGTGGGGCTCGGTCCACTGGTGGACAGGCTAGGTCAGCTGGGGAGGATGACTGATAGAAGCGAATGCAGAGGAACCCCGAGCATTCTCAGGCCTCAATGTCAGCCCTCGGGTGCCATGGACACCTCCCTCCCTTGCCAGGGCCCAGGGCCCAGGGCCCAGGGCCCAGGCCCCCAGGCTCTGTCACCTCCCTGCTTGGAGCCCCTCCTGCCTTTAAGGGGCAGCAGCCTCTCTGGCCCCAACCCCGACCTGGGTCTGTGGCAAGAGGATACATGGAGTAGGCGCCCAGGTACCACTGGGTGAACTGACCGGCCGTGGCCACAATGCCCCCGGTGATAAGGACTGTGGGCAGAGGAGAAGGAGGTTAGTAGATGCCACATCCCATCCCTGCAGGGGCTCTGGCCACCTCCCCAGGGCCCCCTCCCCAAAGGGGGGCCACCAGTCCACCACAGAGCTGCCCTGCCGGCCCCCGTGTTAGCCCAGGAAGGGGACCCAGGCGGGGGAGACCTTGGGAGATGACGGGGGTGGCTGTAGGGATGGGCATTGGGACCCTTCCCCAAGAGCAGCATTTGAGGCAAAGAGGGGGCTGAGGAGCTGCTGAGAGGGAGGCAGGGCCTGGCTCCAGCCTGGACACAGCCCCGAGGCCTGTGACCCACAGCACCCTGAGCATTTGCTCAACGCATTTAAGGACCATGCTGTTGGTGGTTGACTTTGTACCAGCTGCGTGGACACTCTCTCCTGGCCTCGGGTGTGCGGGCTGATCCTGTTCATGTGCTCTGTGTGATGCCGGGTCTGGTCTCCTCAGCCCTGTGCGCGCCCGATCGCAGCCTGCCTGCTGTGAACATATGCATGGCCCCAGTTCCTCCCCAGTGACTTTCGTCTACGGTGGTAGCGTCAGTGTACCGCTCAGAGGCGTGAAGCACGCTCTCACTTGTTGCTCCATCACGGTCACCCATCCTCAGGGTTCCAGTCACTTACTGAGGTATCACTATGACATAAAGTGCACAGACTTTTAACACGTGTGACCCCCACCATGTGATCTCCACCCAAATCAACATTCTCACCCACCCCAGGTTTTCTGGGGGCTCTTCTTTTGCTGGACAGAAGGTTGGTCCAGGCCCTTCCTGGGGTGGTTTGCAGAGAGCTCCAGCTCGCTGTTTGTCTCATCAGGTAGTTTCCCACAATTTATTTATGCATTCTCCTGCCTTTGGGACATGTCAGTTGCTTCCAGTGTTGGGCTTTTATGAATCAGCTGATAGAGCTAAACTCTCCACCCTTTAAGCCATCTGATAGTGAATTTGACACATTTTATTGACTGTGATTGCAGATAACTTACTTTGTTATCTTACTTGGGTTTCCTCTTGAACAAGCTTTTCTTGTTGCTTCTCCTGCCTTCTACTGACTTGATCAAACTGTAATTTTAAAATTCCTCTTCCTGAACTACATGTGGACTTTAGAAGGTTTATCTTTAATCTCACCCCAAATTAGCCACAATTATTAATTATTTACAGTCAGTGTCTTCACGGTGGCATAGCCATCTTCCCTCTGGATCCAGCTTCGCTCTGGCTGGAGCACACCCTTCAGCACTCCTTTCTGATGACCTGAGCTTCGTCGGTGGTCCCTGCGGCACAGAGTGGGAGAGGCAGCCCCTCCCCATGTGTAGCACAGGCCTGAGTTTCCAGCGGTTTTGTCTTCCTTGTGACTTTCTTCGTCCAGGCTGTGGTGGCAGATAACACAACTCCTTGGAGGGGACGATCTTTTGGTCTGTTTCTTGTTCAGGCAGCCTTTCGCGGTCTGGCCTCAGAGTCCCACGAGGTAAAAGCTCTGACCCCCCGCTCCCCCCTTCAGCCCCTGAACCCTGGCCTTCTTCTGCTGGTGTCATGTTTACCCGCGCTGTGCGGGAGGAGGGAAGAGCCGTCGCCCCTGCGTTCAGGCCACGGCTCCTCCACTCGACCTGGGCGTGCGATTTCCTTGGCCTGAGCCTGCGTCATTAGTGGGAGCCTCAGCTCCCAGAGGGGCTGGGGTCTCTCGATGGGGACAGACACTTCATATCATGGTGAATGAGGTGGGTGCCATGGCTGTCGGGCTGGGAGCTCTGGAAACATTTCTCTGAGCAGGTGGATGTGGGCAGAGAGGTGAAGTTGGGGGAGCCAGCCCTGTGGCAAACACCAGGGTGGTGGGCCCCCGAGGCCAGAGGGGCAGGGGCAGAGTGGTGGGAGATAGAGGGACCATGATCTGAACAGATGTGATTCTCTACAGCATAAAGGGCTGGTGGGCTGAGATGCTCATGGGGCCTGTACTGAGTCAGGAGTTAGCAAAAGGAGGAATTCAGAGCCAGAAGGTTGTGGAGGAAGACAAGCAGTAGTCATTGTGGTGGTGATGGGGAGGGGTAGACAGCAAGGGGAGAAGACACTGGGCAAGGAGAACCACGTACTGACCCGCTGGGTTCTCCGCCATCTAGAAGCCAGAAGGGGGCTGCCCTGCCTGGCACTCCAAAGTTGCCCACCCCCAAACGTGACCTTAAAGTGCTCCCTCTCCACCCCCAGCCCAGCTTTGCAGGCTCCTCCCTTCGGTCCCCAGGTTGGCGGTGGGGGCGTCAGGGTGGGCTCCAGGTGAGCCATGGTGGCTGAGACCCGCCTCATCACTTCATCCCCGGGTACCCCCGTCCGCCCACTCCCACTGTGGGCGGGGCCTTCCTGGGAGGGGCGGAGCCACGGGCGGCTTCCTCTAGCCTCAGGCCCCACCCTCTCCTGAGAAGTTGAGTCCTAGTGCGTACTGCACTGTCTGCAGCCGCGGCTGAGCACAGGGAAGCGGGGGGACAGCCGCCTTCCTACCCAGAAGCAGGCCCTGGGAGCTGGGTGGAAGGGGTCACATGGGTCGTCGCCAGCTGCCTTGTGCAATGAATGTCCTTCTGAGCAAACTCAGGGCTGCGCCCCGGGAGACAGAGCGTCACCCAGCTCCATGGACCAAGCCCCTGGCCAGGAGGCAGGAGGAGCCCACCTCCGCAGCCCAGGAGCCTTAGGGAGAGAGCTCCCACCCCAGGGCAGGAGGGTCACTCCAGGCAGGGGTGGGTCATGCTGGGTTTTCCCAGCCCTACTGGGCGGTGAGTTCTCCGGAAACCACCGGGGCAAGCGCTTCTTCCCCAAACTGAACTTCCTCTTTTTGTGTGTGTGTGGCGGAGGGGGCGGGGGGAGGAGGGCAGAGGATGGGGGTGTGGGTGTGCACGGGTTGCAGGGGCAGGAGGGCCCCGAATCCCCCTCCCCAGCCCCAAGGCTCCTCTTGGCGGCTGCAGCCTGCTCCCAACAGAGGCCCCCAGCCCCCTTCCCGTCGGCGCTGCAGGTCGCCCATTGGAGCCTCCGGGCTCGGGGCCCCACCCCAGGCTCCCGCCGGGTGTCTGTGGCTCCTCAGGACCCTGCTCCCGCCCCTTCTCCAGGCTGCCCATCCCCCTTTACCTCTCGCAGCCTGGGGTCTCCAGGCCCCCACTTCCCCAGCCCAAGCACCCCCCTGCACTGCCGCGGCGCCCGGCCCCCAGGCTCAGCCGCCCCTATGCAGCCCCTGCCCCAAGTGCGAGAGCCCCCTACTCACTCAGGCCGGACGCCAGCGCCTGCTCGTTGGCCCACATGGCCCACTCGATCTGCCCCATGGCGGCAGATCGGTTCCAACGCGGCTCGGACTCTTCAGACCCCGCGGCCCTAGAGCTCTGCCGGCCTCCGGCCCCGCCCAAGTTCCCCAAGTTCCGGCGCCGCCCCGCCCCGCCGCTGGCTCCGCCCCAGCCCGGTTCCCCAGGTGACAGGCCGGCGGCAGGTGGGGTCCCAGGAGCCTTGCTTCCCACCCCTCCACGGGACCTCAGGTCTTCCTCCCCTGCAGGCCCAGCCAGCCCGGCCTCGGTGGACTCCTGGAGGGGAAGCGGGGCTTCAGGTCAGGCCCCTGCACCTCGTGGGGAGCTTCCCTGGAGGCCCTGGGCTAGTGCAGGTGTGCTGGCCTTGGCCCCACTGGTAACCCTGGACTAGCTTGGGGGGGAGGGCGGGTGAGTGTGGGAAGCTTCTGAGAAAACCCAGAACGTAGCAGTGCTGGGCCCTGTCCTTTGTCACCTCCCTCCTTGGACCCCCATTTTAGGGTCAAGGTCAGAGGGCTCAGAAGCCCTCCCCCTATTCCCCCCAGCTGGGTTAGGACAGTGGAGAAGAATGGAACTCACTTTAAAGGGGGACATAGACAGAGCTTAAAGCCAAACCCAAACCATTTCCCAGCCTGTCAGCCTTAGTGACCACGTCCAACCAGCACTGCGTGGCATTGGCCGTGGGTCTGCCTGTGCTGAGCATCCCACCCGTGGCGGGGAGGTCCCGGCCCTGCCCCCAACAATGTCCGCCCAGCCCCGTGGGTGAGGGCTGCAGAAAGCACACCAGGCCAGGTGGAGTCCTCGAACTGCTTTTACTTTGGCCTTGGCACTGCTCCCCTGTCCCGCAGACACAACTCTGCACCCGCTCAGGGGCCTGGGCTTAGAGTTGGGGGAGCACTTCATGGAGCTGTCCTGAGGTCGCCTCCTGCATGGTGACATGGCTTCCAGCTCTGAGGGGTACCCCGACATGCCGTCACCTCCTGTAGCAGTGGGGTGGCTATGAGTCCAGGATCCCTTCATGATCGATGCACCAGCAGCTCCCTGCCAGCTCAGTCCCCTGGTCTTGGATCAGGGTCCAGGTCTCCATCTCAGCAAGCTCTGGGGGCAGGTCAGGGAAAGGTGAGGCACTTGGGGGGGCTGCCCCTGATCACCTGGGTGGCTGCAGGCATCATTCCATTGCCCAACTCGGCCACAGCACATGGCCCGGCCCAGAGCAGGCAGTCACCCACAAATCCCAACAAGCGTGGCCTGTTGACCACCACACCCGGCTCCCAGTCCCAGTGAAGCAGCCCCTTCTCCCAGCAGTGGCCGGGCCCCATCGAAGACGTGGTCAGGCAGCTGGCTTTGGCAGACCATCAGGACCCAGGAGATGAGCACCAGGGTCGTCCAGGACCTGAGGCCCAGGTCCCACCTGCGGGGTTGAGAAATTATCATCAGGGAGGGACAAGGTACACCTGCCCTTCCAGGAAATGCAGGCAGGTCAGACACCCTGGTGATGCTGGGCCCAGGGCCCAATCCTCAGGCAGAGGCTCAGTCCCTCTGGGCAGACATGGAGTGGACAGCAAGTCCAGGGCCGTTGGCGGAGGCCAAGGCCTGGGGAGCATAGGTCACAGGTCTGAGAGTCAGATGGGACCCTGACCTGCTCTGGAGGGTACCCCACAGTCCAGCCCCACCCCTGCACACCACAGGCATCCATCAGTCCTTAAATATTCTCCATGAGTGACTGAGGGGAACACTAGGTGCTGTGAAACCAAGGAGCAGGGTCACAGCTACCTCACTGGCCCTCCTGTGGATGCCCTGGGGCGAGCCTGCAGGGTGCGTGCAGTGTGCAGCCAGGACTCACCTGGGTGGCGATGATATATCTGATGCCGCCGGGGATGGGGTCCATGGCCAGCGTGGCTTTAAGCTCATCTGAGAGCAGAACGGGCTCTACGGGCAGCCCCTTCAGAAACCTGGGGGAAGAAGGCAGGGCTGGACCGCAGTCCAAGGACGGCAGGGGTGGGAAGTGTGCAGCACAGGCAGATGCAGGACTGCTGGGGTGTGTGACTGCCAGTGGGGTCGGGGTCTTTGGGGCTGATGAACAAAGATGCTCAGCCTGTTCTTAACACCACTGGGCTGCACACCTCGAGGTGGTTAAATGGAGTGAGAAAGCCAGGGCCTAGCTCTGTCTCTGAGGGGAGGGCTTTAGGAGACCTCCACGAGGCTGTAGTACCGCCCCTCGCCCTTGCCCACCGTGCTGCTGTGCCCCGAGGGACACAGCTTAAGAAACGGCCTCAGTTCAAGCTTAATCCTACAAACTACCCCCACAGTAACCAGGGAGATGAGTCCAGAGCCCCCACATCCTCGATCGTGAGGCTCATCCCATGCACGGTGGGAGCAGTACTCAGCTCCACCTACCAGAAGTCTCACTGCCCCCATAGGGTGACAGATAAAAAGAACCCACACACGCTTCTCACATCCCTAGTGGGTCAAGTGTCCCCACACTGAGAACAGGGCCCCTTAAACAGCTGGGAGGGAGAAATCCAGATGCCCCTGGCATCACAGGAGCTGCTGGAGACAGGCGTGTGCCCCTGGGGCCGGGCCGAGCAGATGAGCATCCGCAGCCACATGGGCATGCACGTGGGGACACTGCCTGTGGTCCTCACAGTTGCTGCCCACCACGGCCTCCTGGATGGGGGCCTGCAACTCACTTGTCTCCGTTCGACTCAGGGGGGAAGCTGTGCCTCACGGCAGCCACAAACTCAGCCACGGTGTCATCCAGGGTGAAGATCACGGCGTTGGGACCCGCATCAAAAGTGTATGCCACCTGGAACCGCGCAGTCAGATGGGCTCAGACCAGCTTCCAGGACCCACAGGCCAGCCACTCAGGAATGGGGAGTGGAGTTTTTCCAACATGGGGACTGTGCCACCAGTGAGAGTGAGATGGAGACACAGCCCCCAGCAAAGCAGGTTCTGTGAAGCCCACCTGGGGAACCCAGCCCCGCACCTGCCTTGGTCCGCCCATGGTGAGCGTTGAAGCGGTGCGCCAGCTGGATGATGCGCCGGGATGTGTCACTGAGGTAGGAGATGGGTGGGAAGGTATCCAGGCAGGTAGCGTGGAACTGGTTGCTGTCCTTCATGGTCAGCTGGCCAAAGGCCTGGAAGTCACGCTCCCTGATGCAGCGGGTCATCTCAGCCATGCGCGCTGGCACCAGTGCCTCTGCCCGGAACTGCAAGGCAGACGGCCAGCCCATGAGTTGAGTGGAGCCACGGAGCCTGGCTTCTGAGCACCCCTGAGGAGCCACCCGCTCAGTCACCCGCTGGCCTCACCTTGAGCAGGGCACTGGTCTCCACACTGGTCTGCATGCCTGACGTGCTGCCCATTGGCTTCTTCTCAGCGCTCACCTGCGGCAAGGGAGGGAGGCCTTTACCGTGCCCGCGACCCAGGGAGCCTGGGAAGGCCCTCTCGACCCCAGCTGGGCCCTCCACTTACCACAAGGATCAGGACTCGGAGCTCCGGCCAATGTGACTCGGGGGCCACCTGATGGGCAATGCTGTCCTTCCCATCAGGGCGCTCCCCCATCTGCCACTCCACGAAGCCACCGTATAGACTGCGGCAGGCGCTGCCCGAGCCCCTGCGGGCCACTTCCGACAGATCGCTGTCCACCCCATAGACCCGGGCCAGGGCATAGGCTGCAGGTGGAGGCGGGGGAGGCTCAGATAGGCTGGAGGTGGGGGGGTGGTCTGTGCTCAGTGCCAGAGAAGGGGGGCACCTGGGGGATGGAGCCTCGGCCCTCAGGGTACATGAGCTGCTGGGAGGAGGAGCCCCCTGGGGACCAGGAGGCCGGGGGCTGCTGGCAGTGCTGGACATAGGCCAGGACTTCTTAAGGGCATGATGCCGGGATGCAGCTCTGGGGGGTCCACAAGGTAATCTGTCTGCCCTGGTTCACTGGTCTCAGGGCTACGTGGAGGACGTAACCCAACCACCCACTGCTGTGGTGACCGGCTTTGCCCCCAGCTTGGGGGTGGGTGAGCCACAGGAGAGCAGGGCAGAGCAGGGGTTCCGAAGGAGCAAGATGGGCTCCCAATAGGCCATCTGAGAGCCTGGAGCCGGCCACAGCCCTGGGGTTCTGCTACATAAGCCAAGAAATCACCCCCACTTAGTTTTTTGTGGGGGATTTTGTCATGTGCCGGGTCCTCCCCTCAGAGCCCCCAGAATATCTCAGCATTCAGAGGCGTGCCATGGCTGAGGCCGTGGCCTCACATGCAGGGCCAAGCACTGGGACCTGTCCTGGGGCACCCACCTAGGCAGGCATAGCCTGCAGCCGAGGAGGCCAGGCCTGCGGCCGTGGGGAAGTTGTTCTCCGAGGCCACGTGAACCTTGTAGCTGAGGCTGAGAGGCAGTGGGTCCTCAAGGCCGTCGCTCCTCCGTTTGCGGGCCAGGCGGCGGACTGCGGGGATGGGAGGCAACGCCTGGGTCAGCACAGGGGGACTGGTCTCTGCCCGAGCGCCTTATACAGAACCCCCTTCTTGGGAGACCCCAGGTCCAGACCTGGCCAGGCTGACAAGCCCCCTAAGGTGTGAGAGGTGGGGAGGGGGCAGGTGATGGCAGCACCTTCTATGTGCTCAGACCCACCCAGCGTGAGGAAGTGGTGCAGGGGTAGGGGCGGACTTGTCCTAAACCCAGCATCCTCAAGGCCCCTACTCACTCTCCCTCAGGCAGGCCTGGAGGCGAGGCTGCCCCACGTCCTCCTCCCGGCCGTTCAGCCAAATCCGGTCCTCCATGAAGTCCCTGCTGATGGCGGCTGTCGTGGTGGTTTTTAACTGGGAAAGAAAGTGCAGGGCACCTCAGTGGTGGGTACCAGCCAAGCCTCCCTCTCTGTGGGGCCTTTCCTCCCCTGGTCCCTCTTGGTCATCCGCTCAGAGCAGTGGCCTTGCTAGAGAACAGGGAAGTGGAGGTGGAGGCCAAGGCAGGCCGGGCTCGAGCGGTGGGGAAGCCCTGTGGATGTCTACTACATAGGGAAGGGCCCACATGCCCATCTTCCAGCAGAAAATGCAGGGCAGGGACTTCCTAGGAGGGCCCAGCATGTATGTGCCCATGTGCTGAGCACACCTCACAGTGGGCAATGGGACGGATGGTGTTCGTTGGCTGGGGATGTACTGATACCATCTGTAAACAGGGGTTTTGTAAATATTTTTTCGATGTATATCAACAGCCCATGCTCACCTGATCCTGGTGCAACGTGACGCTCAGAGAGGAATTGATGGGCAGGATCAGCTCCTCATCTCGCTTTCCCCCTGGAACAGACGGCCCACCACAAAGCGAGTCAGTGTCCCAGCCCAACATACGGGCACCCTGTTGCTCTTGCCCACCAATGCCCTGCCCCTCCCCAATGCCACCGCCACCCCATAGCTCCCCAAGTTGCCTGGATCTTGCTCTTTCACTGCACAATCTAAGTCCTCCTCCTGTTGTGCCCCACCTTCAGGAATCCCTCATCGAATGTTCCCCACTTCACTTAGCTCCTGAGAGCAGAGCTAGTGGCCAGTCCATCCCCTTGCTTCACTGCTTCTGTTTTGTTTTTCACTCATTCAGCAAGTAGTCTTGGAGTGCCTGCCAGATGCTGAGTGCTCTGATTTAAGTCTCTTCCCTTTCCCTCCCAAACAGAGGGAGTCCTAGTTACTGAAAATTCCTTAAATCTCCCTGCTTATACCCCTGGAGACACTCTGGAATTATCCCCACTTCCACTGAGCACTTCCACTCCTGCATATCACAGCAAATACGGGAAACCTTCCACAAAGTCCAAAATTTCAGATCCACTGTTGGGCACAGGTGGAGACGAAAGGGTCCCCATATTCGTCTTTGGGGTGGCGGACAGTTACAAGACATGAAGACGAATCCTGGTAGGTAATCCAGGAGAACACAGAACGATCCTCCATAAACATGCCCAGTTGCTTGCTGACAAAAGTGCAAAAGCAGTTCCTTGGAGGAGGCGTGCAGCATGAAACCTTCTGAAAATGCCTCTGGGTGACTGGACAATCCATGGCCCGACACAGCCATGCCTCAGTCTCATGTCTTGAACAAAAGCACTCAAAATAGATCAGACTTCAACTTAAAACGTAAAAGCCTAAAACTTTTAGGATGAAGGGCTAGGATCACGATGTCTCTGACTTGCTACTAAGGATGGAGATGACACATTGGCCCCCACCACCATCTAACAACTTCAAACCTTTGAAAGGCTCTGTTAGGAGGATGAAAAGAGAAGCTACACGGTGGGAGAAAATATTTGCAAACCTTGTATGTAGCAAGGATTATTATCTAAAATACAAAACGAACTCTCAAAACTCAATAGTAAAAAGCAGACAGTTCAGTTAGAATGTGATGAAAGTCCTGAAGCCACATTTCACCTAAGACTCACAGAGAGAAAACGAGCACACAGAACGCTGTTCGACATCACCGAGCAGCAGGAAAAACAAGCTAAAGCCACAGTACGATAGCACCATCAGAATGGCTAAAATAACTGCTAGTGACAACAACACATGCCAGAAAGCTGGATCACCCATACGGTTATATGTAGTTGGTGGGAATGAAAAATGGTACAGTCAAATGGGAAAACTTGGTTTCTTTAAAAAACCAAACATGCAACCACTCCATGGCCTAGCAATTGTACTCCCGGGGCATTTATCCAGAAGAATGAAAACTTACATTGACACAAAAACCTGTACACAAAAGTTTACAGCAGCTTTTTCCATAATTGATCCAAAGTGGAAACAGCCCAGTTGCCTTGTAAAGGCATATTGCCAAGCAAATTGTGGCCCCTCCCCCCTGGGGACTCCAAGATTCACGCGGGTGACTCTCCAGAAACTAGTGAGGGAGAGGAGCCAATCCCGGGAGCATTCTTGAGAACTGAACAAGACAGACACAGAGAGCAGGTGGAGGTGGCAGGGTGGGCGTGGCCGTGGGAATCAAGCCCCCACGGGGACCGGCGTCCTGTATGAAACACGTCCCCACGTCTCCTGGCTGCACGTGGTGCCCAGCTCCGCGATCGTACCGCGGGAGGGTCCCCACATCTGCACGCGGACCCACAATCACGTCCACACGAGGGCCCAGCCCACCTGCCACCGGCCGGGGACCCGGCCACCGCCCAAACAAGCCCCTCCCAGCCTCAGTTTCCCTGTCTGCAGGGCCCCCACATCCTGCGCCTCACGAGCCCACCACTCACAGTACTTGACGACCGCGATGTTGACGGGCGCGGTGCAAGTCACCACCACGGTCGGCTTCTCTGAGGCCATGGCCGAAGAACAGAGAGACCCCAACCCACGGCCGCCAGCCGTCCAGACCCACGCCGCAGCGAGGCCGGCGATTGGTCCTCAACGCCCCACCTGCTCGCGTGCCGCCCAATCAAAGGCGGGCCCGGCCTATTGCTCCACCTCTCAGCCAATGAGTGGCATCGGAAGATAGGCTGGCGACCCTGAGCCCGCCCCCGCTGGCCCGAAGACGCGCTCCGACTCTGCGCAGGCGCAGGGATTGGTTCGCCTCCACCGCCCTCCCCTGACACTCACGCGAAGTCCACGCAGGCGCGAGCTTTGCGCCTGCGCGTGGTGGTGCCGTTCCCCAAAACGCGCCGAGGGTTCCCGGTGAAGACTCTGGGTGAATGCCGCGCTCAGCGCCACGGGACACGCGCCCCTCCGCCCTGGGTCCCCCACGCCCCGCCGCCCTGGGTTTCCCTCACCCAGCCGCCTGAAATTCCCCTCACCCGGCCGCCCTGAGTTTCCCTCACCCCGCCTGCCTAGTTTTCCTCAGCCCGGCTGCCCGAGGTTCCTCACGCCTCACTCGAGTTTTCTCTCCCCACGCCACCCGAGCTTCCCCTCACCCCGCCGCCCGGGGTTCCCACAGACTCCCCATCCCCTCACCGACCAGTTCCTGGGTGAGGGGCTGCTAAGGGAGGAACTTCTTCGGAATAGGTGGGACTTTCCAGCCCCACCCCTCTCTTTTAAAGCTCCGTACCAGCTGGGATTCTCTTTTCAGGGTTGAAGTTCAGTCGCTCTGTCGTGTCCGACTGTTTGCGCCCCATGGACTGCAGCACTCCAGGCTTCCCTGTTGAAGTGGGTTGCCACATTTATAATGACTCTTACTGGTGTAAAATACACCATTTTAACCACTTTGAAGCTTCCGATTCTGTGGCATTAAGTACCTTCACATTGTTGGGCAACCATCACCACTCTCCAACTCTAGAACTTTTTCATTTTCTTAAAGTCAAACTCTGTTCCTTACACAATAACTCCCAGCTTCCCCCTTCCGTTTGTAAAAATTTATTTTTGGCTTTAACATGATTCTGTTTTCAGTGAAGAACAGAGCGCAGCCCTCCAGTTCTGTTCCTACAAGTATCAGCAAATAGCTTTCTTCCGATTAGGTGTTTCTTGGAGACCATCCTGAAGATCTCCATTTGCCATAACTTGTCCAACTGGTCCCCTGTTGGTTGACAATGAAGTTGTTACCAGTTTTTGGACACAAGCAGCTTTCCTGCACAAGTGTTGAGTCCTTTTTTAGGATAAATCCCTGGAATTGGAATTGCTGGGCCTAGCAGGATGTACTTGAAGTAAAGTTGATAGCTCTTGGCAAGTTCCTTCTGGAAGTTCCATTGATCCCAGCCGCCAGAGGAAGGGATCCGGAACCTTTCTCAGCACAGTGGCTCCCCGTCCACCTGACCTGTGAAAAATGGTATCTCACTGTTTTCAGTTGTGTTTCTGATGGTTGTTTTCTTGGAATCACTGTTTTGTTTCATGCAGAGCCATTAAAACTTCCTTTGAAGAGCTGTTGGTGCATTTCTCTGGATGGTGGTTGCAATGTATTCTCTGAACTATAGAAGCAAGGTCACCTATGAATCTCAGTGATTTGTACAGTGTGTGGGAGTGATGAAGGGACATCTCACACGTTCATGGTGCCATCTGTTTCGCACCAAGTACTGTGCCAGGTGCCCTACTCTGAGGGACTTCACCTGGGGACTTCATTTTATTGTTTATAATTTAAATATTGACTATAGAGTGAAATGTATCACCCCACATTCACAGGTTGAAACCTAACCCCCAGTATGATGGTGTTAGAAGGGGGCCTCTGGGAGTGATGGGGTTATGGGGGTGGGGCCCTCATAAAAGATCCCACAGAGCTCCTCACCCTTTCTCCAGGTAAGGGCACCATCATGATCCAGGAAGGGGCTCTTGTCAGACAGCAAGTCTGCCAGCACCTTGATCTCATACTTCCAGCTTCCAAACTGTGAGAACTCAAGGGTGGTTGTTTAAGGCCCCAAGTCTGTGGTATTGTTTGTTACAGCATCCTGAACAAACTAAGACAAAGACAGTATTATATGTACTTGATTTAAAGAGTGAATTATCAGACACTCTTCTATGCCCTCCCCCAGGTTTGGTGGGCACTTTATTTTTTACCTTATTTTGACTGTACTGGGTCTTCATTGCTGGGCTCGGGCTTTCTCTAGTTGCGGCGAGTGGGTGCCACTCTTGGTCATGGTGTGCAGTCTTCTTATTTTGATGGCTTATCTTGTTGCAGAGCACGGGCCTAGTTGCCCCGGAGCGAGATCTTCCCAGACCAGGGATGGAACGCGTGTCCAGAGGGAACCTGTGTCCCCTGCACTGGACTAACAGAAGTCCAAAGGCAGCCACTTTTAAATCTGTTCTTTTCCTCCGTGTTACTTTTCTTTTTTAATTCACTGACTGTTTTGGCTGCACTGGGTCTTCATTGCTGCATGTGGGCTTTCCCTAGTTGCATCTGGCAAGGGCTGCTCTCTAGTTGCAGTGCATGGGCTTCTCATTGCAGTAGCTTCTCTTGTGAAGCATGGGCCCTAGAGTGCCAGCTCAGTAGTTGTGGCACATGGGCTCAGTTGCCCCGTGGCATGTGGAATCTTCTTGGACCAGCGATTGAACCTTCATCCCCTGCATTGACAGACAGATACTCAACCACAGGGAAGCCCCTTCCTCCATGTTTATAAACAGCCTACTTGTTTCCCTCTTTCTTTTTCTCTTTCCTTTATTATCATTTTCGATGGCATCTTTTGATTGTCACCAAGCAGAAATGAGGAATTGTCTTCTATCCCCACCACAATCCATCCTCCCCCATACAGGTGATGTTCTCAGCGTTATGATCATGTGAACCATGCTCACAGTTGAATGCATAGGTGTAAGTGCCTGACAGTGTGCATTTGTGTAGTGGGGAAACTTGAACAAACAAGCTCCCTGAAAGAGGGCTGGGCATAGACCCCAAGCTGACACCATCAGCTCCCACTCTTCTGAACAGTCAGCCTTCAAGCATGTAGAAGATAAGCTCATCACAGGGCCTCTATTTCTGGGGCTTTTTGTTAACTAGATGTGGGTTAATGCCTGTTCTGCCATGGCGGGAGTGATAAACCAAAGGACAGAAGCTTTTACACATGGTCACGTGTTCTGATTTGCTCCATTAAAATGTGTTTCATGGAGATGTGGTAGGTGCCTTGACACCTCAGGGAGTCAGCCTGAAGTGTCAAGGTTGCAGGACAAGAATGGAGCCTGGAGCGTTTCTTACAGTCTTCCTCAGACTTCCTGTCTTATTTCAAAGCATTTTTTTTTAACGTAAAATATGTAACATAAAATTTACCTTCTTAACCTTTTCCTTAAAAAAATTTTGGCTGCACTGGGTCTTAGTTGCAATATGTGGGGTTTAGTTCCCTGACCAGGGATTGAACCCAAGTGCCCTGCCTTGGGAGCACAGAGTCTTATCCCTGGACCCAACAGGGGAGTCTTAACCATTTTCAAGTGTGCAGTTCAGTGGTAGTAAGTGCACTACATCGTTGTGCAGTCATCCCAGGTCCATCTCCAGAACTTTTTCCTCTTCCCAAACTGAGACTCTATGCTCAGTAAACACTGAGTGTGGATCTCCTCCTCCAGCCCCTGGCAGCTATTCTTCTACTCTCTGTGTCTGAATTTGTCTGCACCAGGGACCCATGTAAGTGGAATCCTGTGTCTGGCTTATTTCACTGAGCATAATGTCCTCAAGGTTCACCCATGTTGTAGCAGGTGCCAGAATTTCCCTGCTTTTTAAGGCTGAGTAATATTCCATTGTATGGATGGACCACATATTGCTTATCCATTCATCTGTTGTAGGTATTTGTGTTGCTTCCACCCCTTGGCTGTTGGCGAGGAATGCTGCTGTGAACATGGGTGTCCACTGTGTCTTATTACAGTTCCTCTTATTTGGTTCTTTGGGGTACACACCCAGAGGTAGAGTTTCTGGGTCACGTGGTAGTTCTGTGTTTAATTTTCTGAGGAACCTTCAGTCTTTTTGCACGCTGCTGCACCATGTTACCTCCCCACCAACGTCCCCAGCTTGCATTTCCTGTGTCCTCACTGACACTTGTTCTTTCCTTTCCTTCCTTTTTTGTGCAGCCTCCCTAATGGCCGTGAGGTGTGAAGTCGTATCTCCTTGTGGTTTTGATGTGCATTCCCAGATTTCCTTTCATTTGCAGTGATTTCTCAGTGTTGCTAAGAGAGCACATGGTATGGTGTTGCTCAAACATTAGTGTGAGTACCAGTCATCCAGGGAGCGTGTTGAAATGCCGATTCTGAGTCAGGAGGTCTGGAAGACTGCCTGTGTAGCCAGTGTCCTGGGTGTTGAGGGCAGAAGCTTGCTGTTCCAGGGATACACCATGAGTAACAAAGAGCGCAGAACACACATGGGCTCTGCAGTCAGACCAACCCTGTGTGTATGTAACTTTCCAAGCCGCAGATAAGTGTTCCCTACAGCAGAGCAATGCTCCCTCCAGGGAATTAGTGGACAGGAGGTGACTTGAAAAGGTGATGTGCAGAGTTTTCTTTATTGCCCTTTCATTTCAATTCAGTCCACCCTGGAGACCCTCAACAGCGAGGTTTTTTTTTGGCATCTGGGGGTGAAACACGACAGAGCGTGGCAGTGAGAGACAGAAAGGGAGGGCGTCTTCCCTCCTGGGAGATTACCGTGGGGGCGGGGGTAATCTGACGCTCACAGAAGAGGTGACGCTGCAGAGGTGCAGGTAGACTCCACCGTGAGGTAACACACCTGATGCCCACAGCATGGGCTGGGGCGAGTGTGTGTAAGAGGAGTCGGCAGTGGGAGCTGAGGTGGCCGGGGCACTGAGGAGTGGTGCAAGTGGGGCGGTGTGCCAGCAGGAGGTGGGAGGGACGTTCTGGGGGCGGAGGCAGTGGGGAGGGCTGAACAGGAGCACGCCATCCCTCCAGGAGGAAGTCCATCTCTTCCTCAGGCCGAGCTG